ACTTATTTCCTCTTGGGATACTTAAAATATTTCTCAGGATGCGACCCACAACACTCCATTAACTCATACATGTTTACCGCTAGGTAAACATGTGTAAGACTTGTCAATCCATGCCGTCTTGCCTGGGGTTCCAACCCGGGCTCTTTTGTTATTAAAATAACTTTCTGTACTGACCCCTGTACTGCACCGCTGCTGCTAGACAGGAAATGTACAAAAAAAGTTGCTTTATTCTCTACGACTCTTCCACCTCCATTCTCTTTTACCACAAATCTCTCTCTCTCTCTCTCTCGTGTATATATATATATATATATATATATATATATATATATATATATATAATATATATATAATATATATATATATATATATATATATATATATATATATATATATATATAATATATATATATATATATATATAATATATATATATATTATATATGTGTGTGTGTGTGTGTGTGTTGTGTATGTGTGCAAAACAACCACTGTGAAAGAATAATGAAATTCCAATCGCTTTCGTGACTACTCACATTATCAAGGAACAATTGTTCCTTGATAATGTGAGTAGTCACGAAAGCGCTTGGAATTTCACTATTTTTTTCACAGTGGTTGTTTTGCATATTCTGAAATCACCTGTTTACTGTGATCTTCTTATTGCATATATATATATATATATATATATATATATATATATATATATATATATATATATATATATATATATATATATATATATATATAATCAAGAGTGTATCAGTCTGTAGTGGAAGGAAGGCGGGGTAGGGGTCGGCCTAGGAAAGGTTGGAGAGAGGGGGTAAAGGAGGTTTTGTGTGCAAGGGGCTTGGACTTCCACAGGCATGCGTGAGCGTGTTTGATAGGAGTGAATGGAGACAAATGGTTTTTAATACTTGACGTGCTGTTGGAGTGTGAGCAAAGTAACATTTATGAAGGGGTTCAGGGAAACCGGCAGGCCGGACTTGAGTCCTGGAGATGGGAAGTACAGTGCCTGCACTCTGAAGGAGGGGTGTTAATGTTGCAGTTTAAAAACTGTAGTGTAAAGCACCCTTCTGGCAAGACAGTGATGGAGTGAATGATGGTGAAAGTTTTTCTTTTTCGGGCCACCCTGCCTTGGTGGGAATCGGCCAGTGTGATAATAAAAAAAAAAATATGTGTGTGTGTGTGTGTATGTGCGCGCGCGCACGAACATTCAGAAATTGAGAGAGAATGTTTGACACGTTGTGACTAGTGAGAAGCAGACAGCCAGCAGTGCAGAAGTTATTCTATACAACCATTGTTTATGGAGAAGAGGCTAATGGTGTCTTTGTTGGGGAGTCATTTGTGAAATAGGTGAAGGGAGGCGGCCCGTTGGGAGGGGACACTGACTTTCTCTTATTCCACTGTGTGTGTGTGTGTGTGTGTGTGTGTGTGTGTGTGTGTGTGTGTTTGTGTGTGTGTGTGTGTGTGTACAAACTTTCAACTCATGCTCTCGGGTTAGTGAGAATGTATAAGCATGCACAAGTTTCTCCTCCTCCCCATCCTCTTCCTATTCTACATCCTCTTTCTTCTTCTTTTTCTTCTCCTCTTCCACCTCCTCCTCGCCCACCACCTCCTCCTTCTTCTTCTTCTCCTCTTCCACCACCTCCTCCTCCTTCCCTACCTCCTCCTGTGAATAAGTTAATTACAAACATCATCACAAGACAACACTTCAGGCAGACTAATGTTTACTTTTCATTTTGTTTTGTATTTGTTTTTATTTTGTCTTGTGTTGAGAGGTTCTTTGTCAGGTGGGGTGCAGGGGCGCAGGCACGCGCAAAGACACACTCTCACACACATACACGTACACACATTCAAGCACACAGTCGCATGCACACACACGCACACACAAGAGTGCTACTAGTACGAAGAATAAATAATTCGTAATAACAAAAAATAAAGTGACAGAAAGCGACTAAACATGAGGATGTGCAAGCGTAACTATCGAACTCCCCAAGGATAAGCATCTATAACTAGTAAAGTCCCCCTACAGGGGTAGGGTGTTAGTAGTGGAGTCCCCCCAGGGTGGGAAAGTGTAAGTGGAGTTTCCCCAGGGTGGGTGGGTGTAAGTAGCGGAGTTCCCCAGGTCTCGCTCTTGGGTCCCATACTCTACCCTATGGAATGCTACGCCAAGCTATCCAACATAGAAGTAGGCGTCAAGGCGAAAATAAGTAATGTTTTAAGCAACTGTTTCCTATATACGTTAGATCGGACCTTGAGTATGCAAAGCCACTGTACAACACATAGCTAGCAACTCAAGATAACAGGGATAGGTTAAGTGTCACATAAAAGATACCATAACTGAGAAATAAAGTGACAATGAAAAGCTACTGGGACGTTATCTGATGACTGCCAGAGGAGAAACCAAACTGGGCCGTAATCACAATATACCAATTACTCCAATATTATTTTTAAAGGGGTGGACTGGTAAGCCAGTGGAAGGCCTTAGTCAGATGATCAAAAGCTCCAGGAAACATTTGTCCTGTTTCCTGACGACTCTTACCTAACCTAACCTGACTATAGACAAGGTGGACAAAGATAAAAAGAAACGAACAATTATATGAAACACATGAAAAACATGATGCATTTATTTGCGATGATGAGGTATGAAACAAGTGAAAAAAACTTAGGAAACGACATAGAAAATTAATGCGCACAAGTTTTCACATCCACGAACTAAACTAAGTACACACACACACACAATCTGGAGTTTAGTAGAGGCAGGATCCGTACATAGCTTTAAGATCAAGTACGATAAGGCTCTTGGAACAGTAGAGAATGGATCTAGTAGCGACTAGGGAAGAGGCGGGGGCAGGAACTGTGACTCAATCCCTGTAACCACAAATAGACAAGTACAAATGGATGAGTACACACTCACACACTCATCCTCACACAGAACTAGAGCTTAACACCCTTAAAAAAAAACTCTGCTATGAAATTACAGGCTCGGAGTCATATTTTAGCGCTGGCAAGACTTAAAAGAGTCATACGGGTCACTGATGCACTCCACACTTGTTGATCTTCATTAGCGACACTCCACCAATTTTTTTCCCTGCCGTACACCAGCAACAGCAAAATTAAATTACACCTTCATTACATGTGCAAATTTTGCCACGTTGATTTTAAATTTTTCATTATTATAATACTGTTTCAGCGTTCAAACAAAAGTTCCGCAAGTTTTGCTAGATTTAATATCTCGCAAAATATATAATTTCACGGCCTGTATTCACATTCAGAAAATATATATACACTGGTTAGACACTGGAATTATTAAGGGACAATACAATTATCCTCAAAGATTTGTTAAGTTATACCATGCATTACGATAGTAATTATGGACAAGGTAGATTATAGTGGAAAAATGAACATGTTATTAGTAGACGGGAGTACTTAAGTACGATGATAATATAGAGACAATTGCAGCTTTAATGACAGTCATATCGGAAACGAAATAAAACTTGGTCAATAAAGGATTCCATGGTCTTGATGTCTCAAGTTGTTACTTATCCAACACATGTTTGACTGATGTGACTACGAAAGGCTGGATGTAGTTGGCCCACTGCAGAGTTCCTTTATTCTTATAATATTTTACACTAAAGGTTATGTCTACCATATGTATAATGTATTAGGAAAATTTAGTTTAGCCGCATAATTCACTTAACATTTAAAATGCAAATAATAATTTCCCGGGTGTACTAATGACCTGCTGCATTTTTTATGTTTTACGAATATTTCCGTTTTTTTTTATATCTCAAGGGATACATTTTTTAATTGTACCAGTTTTAAATTTACAAGAGTTACACAAATATACTATCTTCTGAAATTGAAAAAAAATATATATATATAATTTCTTTGGTAGCTGAACAGAGATGTGAATTGTTTATAAAGTTGAAAAATGGGAACAAAGGAAGTTTTTCCATGATAAAACTTGCATTACCACTCAGCAATGTAACAAGAATGACAGCAAAACTAATATTGAACACAATAATGAGGAGAAGCAGTGCAAAGCCCTTGTATCCCTGAGTTATAGCAGAGTTATAGACTTAATTAGCGCACCGTTACTGATATTAACCCCTTACTACTGGTACTACTACTAGTTGCTACTAGTATTACTACTAATTATTACTGGTATTACTACTAGTTACTACAAGTACTACTACTACTTACTATTAGTACTACTACTACTAACTACTAGTACTACTACTATTCCTATTATTACTACTACTAACTAATAATAATAATACTCTTAATACTAATACTAGTATCGTTATTACTAATGTTAATATTACTAGTAATGCTACTACTATTACTACTTCTAATAATAAAAATAATGAAGCAGTAATGATCGTGCTCCACGAGGCTACATATAGATCCATTACTCAACAACTAACAAAGCACTATATACCTGGTCGGTGCTTCACACGGCTCTGTTATAAATCTGCATTAAATCTGGCAATTTTTCAAGAAGACAAATATGCATTTTTTTTTACACTACTAATTTAAACGGGTTTAGTGAGCAGATGGCCTCCCTGCCATGGATCCCACTCACACATCCAAAACTTACTAGGCTTTTTTGAGCCTTTGCATTTATAAATTTATTTTGATCATGCGTACATCTTCCAATTATTATTTCGTGTCAGGTGACAGAATGCAGCATGTGGAGTGTGATAGACTTTGATAATTTGTGTGGTTAATTTTCTCTGTTTCTTTGCGATATGTATATATCTACTCGATTGAAAGTTATGTAATTTCCTCTAAAGTGTATATTCACTCGAATTTGAGTGATAAATTTTCTGTAAACGATGAATGATTTAGTTTTCTCTATGATAAGTATTCTTACTTGACTCTGGTAATCTTGCTCAATAATCCAGAGTGCAAGTTTTCCTGTTTTGTTTGATCCATAAGCTACAGTATTGTCTTTTCCTCTTGTATAATTTGTTGTGTAATATATTGCGTCACGCCCACAGATCATCCACAATGTCAAGTGTATGCTGGTATGGGCGTGCGGGCGTGCTGATGACTGCTGCTCTGCTCTTCTTCGTCCTTGTCGCCCACACTAATGCTGTTCCTCTAGCCAAGAGGGTAAGTACACCCACTCTTCCATTGATATTATTACATTCACAGGGAGGAGGGAGGGAGCGCGAAATCCTCAGGGGTTATGCAGAGCCTGGAAATACGCGAGGCAATTTATGTTCTATTACAGAAGGAGAGGACAGGAACAATTCTTGTATCAAAAGGAGCCTCCTATTGAGGGGCCAGGGAAAGAGGGCGACTGTTTTTTCGGGGGTCGAAGCATAACTCCTGGCCCCGCCCAGCTCCACAATCCTGTAAACATGTATATAAAACCACAAGCAAATTGTAAGATAAAGGCCACGGCACCTCTATCAAGGCTAGGAATAAGTGTAACCGGGAAGTGTTCACACACAAATATTTTCACTATCGTTCTGGAGGACCCCCGGTGGGAGAGCTTGTGTTTACAAGCATCTTAGAAGCAGCAGCAGAGGTAAACATTGACTCACTACGTGTTTTTCCATTTTTGTTTATCTTTCTCCGTTCTTCAACTCTTCTTGGTGACCTCCAGCAACATGCCCGCCAATGACCATTACCTTTGTCAAGATTTTTTCAACACTATACAGTTATTCGCTATATTTTGACATTTCACGCCCCTTAATGTTTATTGAGAAGACTATTATGCTCAGGAGTTTCGTAAGGTACAAGTAAGTTTAATTGCTTGCTTCTATTTTTCTCTTGTTTACATGCAAACTGTGTTTTAGCTTCTGGCATTTATGATTCTTTTTCTCCTCCTGTTTTCCCTCTTCTTTCTCCTTTGGTCAGCTTTGCTCTGACCTGCTTGCTAGTGTCACATTCACTTCCACATGCTGGCTCCCGCTGCCTCACTGACCTGCTACACCCTGGCTGTGGTTGCCTTCGCTGTAGCATCTGTCCTCTTGCTTCCTCTTTCTTCTCCTCTTCTTAACATTTTCCTCCTCCCTTTCTCATCCTATTCCTCCTCTTTCTCCGCGTCCTCCTCCTTTCCTCTTCCTCATTCTGCTCCTCCTCCTTTTCCTGCTTATTCAGCATGACCTCTTCATCTTATTTTTATAAGCAGTATCTTATTTTTACACAGTTGAATTTACAGACTAGAAGTAGTTATCCTGACTGCTTATTTCCGAGTCCAACTCTGTCTAAGGTATACCTTAACACTAGGGGCGGCTCCTGAAGTGTTATATAGGAGGGGCTCGATGTCTATCAGCTTGGAAAAGGGAGCTAGAAGACTTGTTTTAAAACAACGATATTATTATTATTATTATTATTATTATTATTTATTATTATTATTATTGGGTGCTCAGACCTCGCTTCTCCCTTCCTGTATGCGCTACACAGCAGTCGACTAATACCCAGGTACCTATTTGCTGCTAGGTGAACATGGACAACAGATGTAAGGAAACATGCCCATCGTTTCTACTCACCCCGGGAACAAACCCCGGTCCTTCAGTTGTGAGCCCAGGGCGCTCCCACGAGACATCTATTTATTGTGCCATTGTTTTGTGTATTTTTTTTTGTCCCCGGTCCTGAATACTGGTTCGGTGAGGCCCTCCTCCTGTCCTCCCAATCCAACCACCCACACACCCGCCCACACACCACCCACCCAACCCTCCCCCCCCACACACAGTCATAGAGTTGTCGGGAAGTGGAATAGTCTGGGAAGTGATGTAGTGGAGGCAGGATCCATACATAGCTTTAAGAAGAGGTATGATGAGGCTCATGGAGCGGGAAGTTACCTAGTAGCGGCCAGCGAAGACGCGGGGCCAGGAGCTGTGACTCGACCCCTGCAACCACAACTAGGTGAGTACACACACGCACACACACACATATCATCAATGTTATATTCTGTTATTACATTTTATAATTATCACATAATTTTCTACATAATAAATTATAGTTCTTTCATGTAAGATTACATTAATTAAAAATAAGTGTCTTTCTTTGTGGCAGGATATTGGAGATCTTCTTGAGGGGAAGGATAAACGTCCATTCTGCAACGCTTTTACAGGTGAGATAACTACCTTGGGTGGAGGGAAGGATGAGTGAGGCATGGAGGAGACAGTGTGGAGGGAGACATGGAGGAGTGAGACAGTGAGGAGGGAGACATGGAGGAGTGAGACAGTGAGGAGGGAGACAGGGAGGAGCCAGACAGGAAGGGTAGTAGTATCATAAATTTCCAGTGGGTTCATCACTAGGACGAAACACACGAAAACCAACTGACTACCCAGATATCCGTCACAGCGAGGCGAACACTGATAGCGGGTGCAAGGTGAATACTGATAGCAGGTGCAAGGTGAATACTGATAGCAGGTGCAAGGGTAGGAATACTGATAGCAGGTGCAAGGTGAATACTGATAGCAAGTGCAAGGTGAATACTGATAGCAGGTGCAAGGTGAATACTGATAGCAGGTGCAAGGTGAATACTGATAGCGGGTGCAAGGTGAATACTGATAGCAGGTGCAAGGTGAATACTGATAGCAAGTGCAAGGTGAATACTGATAGCAGGTGCAAGGTGAATACTGATAGCAGTGCAAGGTGAAACTGATAGCAGGTGCAAGGTGAATACTGATAGCAGGTGCAAGGTGAATACTGATAGCAGGTGCAAGGTGAATACTGATAGCAGGTGCAAGGTGAATACTGATAGCAAGTGCAAGGTGAATACTGATAGCAGGTGCAAGGTGAATACTGATAGCAAGTGCAAGGTGAACACTGATAGCAGGTGCAAGGTGAATACTGATAGCAGGTGCAAGGTGAACACTGATAGCGGGTGCAAGGTGAATACTGATAGCAGGTGCAAGGTGAATACTGATAGCAGGTGCAAGGTGAATACTGATAGCAGGTGCAAGGTGAATACTGATAGCAGGTGCAAGGTGAAATACTGATAGCAGGTGCAAGGTGAATACTGATAGCAGGTGCAAGGTGAATACTGATAGCAGGTGCAAGGTGAATACTGATAGCAGGTGCAAGGTGAATACTGATAGCAGGTGCAAGGTGAATACTGATAGCAGGTGCAAGGTGAATACTGATAGCAGGTGCAAGGTGAATACTGATAGCAGGTGCAAGGTGAACACTGATAGCAGGTGCAAGGTGAATACTGATAGCAGGTGCAAGGTGAATACTGATAGCAGGTGAAGGTGAAACTGATAGCAGGTGCAAGGTGAATACTGATAGCAGGTGCAAGGTGAACACTGATAGCAGGTGCAAGGTGAATACTGATAGCAGGTGCAAGGTGAATACTGATAGCAGGTGCAAGGTGAACACTGATAGCAGGTGCAAGGTGAACACTGATAGCAAGTGCAAGGTGAATACTGATAGCAGGTGCAAGGTGAACACTGATAGCAGGTGCAAGGTGAACACTGATAGCAGGTGCAAGGTGAATACTGATAGCAGGTGCAAAGTGAACACTGATAGCAGGTGCAAGGTGAACACTGATAGCAGGTGCAAGGTGAACACTGATAGCAGGTGCAAGGTGAACACTGATAGCAGGTGCAAGGTGAACACTGATAGCAGGTGCAAGGTGAACTACTGATAGCAGGTGCAAGGTGAACACTGATAGCAGGTGCAAGGTGAACACTGATAGCAGGTGCAAGGTGAATACTGATAGCAGGTGCAAGGTGAACACTGATAGCAGGTGCAAGGTGAATACTGATAGCAGGTGCAAGGTGAATACTGATAGCAGGTGCAAGGTGAACAATGATAGCAGGTGCAAGGTGAACACTGATAGCAGGTGAAAGGGATGAACACTGATAGCAGGTGCAAGGTGAACACTGATAGCAGGTGCAAGGTGAATACTGATAGCAGATGCAAGGTGAACACTGATAGCAGGTGCAAGGTGAATACTGATAGCAGGTGCAAGGTGAATACTGATAGCAGGTGCAAGGTGAACACTGATAGCAGGTGCAAGGTGAACACTGATAGCAGGTGCAAGGTGAACACTGATAGCAGGTGCAAGGTGAACACTGATAGCAGGTGCAAGGTGAACACTGATAGCAGGTGCAAGGTGAACACTGATAGCAGGTGCAAGGTGAATACTGATAGCAGGTGCAAGGTGAACACTGATAGCAGGTGCAAGGTGAACACTGATAGCAGGTGACAAGGTGAATACTAATAGCAGGTGCAAGGTGAACACTGATAGCAGGTACAAGGTGAGCACTGATAGCAGGTGCAAGGTGAACACTGATAGCAGGTGCAAGGTGAACACTGATAGCAGGCACAAGGTGAACACTGATAGCAGGTGCAAGGTGAACACTGATAGCAGGTGCAAGGTGAACACTGATAGCAGGCACAAGGTGAACACTGATAGCAGGTGCAAGGTGAACACTGATAGCAGGTGCAAGGTGAGCACTGATAGCAGGTGCAAGGTGAACACTGATAGCAGGTGCAAGGTGAACACTGATAGCAGGTACAAGGTGAACACTGTTTGAGATGTCAATTTGCTACTGATGACTGTAAAGGAAGGCCTATGTTATTCCCTCGATTAGAAATTTTTACCACAAATACTTGACGATTATTTTGTGTAATCTTGAGCTAAGTTGTTAGGCGGCTATCGAATAGGAGTGAGAATGGTCGAGTGTGAGTTAGACCTACCTAGTATTATCCCGTGTGATGACGGCAGGGATCCTTTCTTCTTACCGTCTAGTATTATAACATTAATATACTCTATCTGGTCCAGGGTGTGGCAAGAAGAGATCTGACCCAGGTGTGGAAGGTGTGGCTTCCAGCTCTGAGCTCGACGCTCTGGCCAAACACGTCTTGGCTGAAGCCAAACTCTGGGAGCAACTCCAGACCAAAGTACGTGATATACACCCTCAGGTGAGAGGCCTTCATGCTCCTGAAGGGTTCTTCTTCCAAGGAATTAGAACCACCATCCCTTTGCACTAAGCGTGTTTACTTTTCATTCTTCAGAAGCTGTATTACCCCTACAGGTTTAGAGCTTCCCCATGAATATAACGCTAATATCAGTATAATATAAACCTTTCCTATTTCATAGGCAGAACAATTGTTTTGCCAATATTCGACGACTCTATCTCTTTCTTTCTCTCTCTCATATTATATTATATATATATATATATATATTATATAATATATATATATATTATATATATATATATATATATTTATATATTATATATATATATTATATATATATATATATATATATATATGCAATAAGATCACAGTAAACAGCTGATTTCAGAATATGCAAAACAACCACTGTGAAAGAATAGAGAAATTCCAAGCACTTTCGTGACTGCTCACATTATCAAGGAACAATGTGTATATGTATTTGTATATATATATATATATATATATTATTATATATATTTATTATATATATAATATATATTATTATATATATATATATATATATATATACACACACACACACACATATACGCTATGACTCCATGGTTTTGAGTTGCAGTTACCTAGTTAGGGTCAATAGGCCTCCTGTAATGCTATATTTTATGTCTGTTACATTTTAGATGGAAGTAATGCGTAGCCTGGCCGCCCGCATGGAGAACAACCCACTGTACAGGAGGAAGCGTTCTCTCCCACACCAGCCTCGACACAACCTCACATCAACACCCAAACAGAAGGTAAGTCCATTGCCTTCTCATCCTTCACCCGTATACCATTTTTAACAGTTCCGTTTACAGGCTGTCATTAATATCCACAATAAAGATACCAAAATGTCGCATTTGTGTCTTATTCATCTACTTGACGGTTTTGTAAATCATTAATATATAATACTGTTATTTCGCTCACGTTATTTCAGTGCCTAGTTCTAAGGTACATTATCACCTCTTTCCCCAGGATGCGATCAACAATATTTGACTAGTTTACTACTATTACGGGAGCAGAACAGGTCATGCAAAGAAACTTGTCCATATGCTTTTCCCGCCCGGGAATGAAACCTGATCGGGAAATATGAGCTGAGCGCCCTAGTAGTGAAGAAAAATAATAAGTATTAGATTTAAATATCACCCCGCGCGGTTATGTGTGGTGTTTTATTTTCAAGGTAAATGTCTCCTGCGGTGATTTAGGCGGACAGAACACCGTCTGTTCGGTTAAAATTGTCGTTGTTGTGCTATTCTCGTATAAATGAAGTAAGAAAGTTTGTCCACAAAGTGCTTTTTTCAGTTTTAAACATTTATTACAGGAAAATAGGAAAAGATATGAAAATGCAGTTTTCTATACATGATAACTAGGCTGGTTAAGTTTTTATGTGCTACTCAAGTCAATGCTCAAGTTCATTCCGCGTATCATTTATTCAAACAGGGAGAGTTTTAATGTCATCAACTGGTATAGGGAAAGCATTATTGCTCAAAAGCTCCTACAAGAAATTTAAAGGTGTGATATCAGAGAAGCATGGAGGAAGGGCATTAGATAAAGTCATCACGTCCAATCCATCTGCCAAGGAACTTCATGTTAGGATGAATCTGTACACTCACACTTCAGTATGGAGATGCACCGTCTTGCTGGTTGTAATTCTTCTAACTGAAGGTCTGCATAATTTTGTAACATATCAAGGTACAGGTACACATTTCTTGTAATGATTGGCTCACAAAAGAACATTGGGTTTGTTACCCTATCGTGCATTTATCTACACCAGATATAAAACTTTGGACCATGACACACGTGCTCTCGGTTAACTCTTCCAAACATGCTGTTCTATAGGAGAATTAAAACCTCTTGACGTAGTTACTGGCCTCATTATTTGAGGTATGCAAACTCATAACGCTAAGAATTGTTATTTGGTTGTAAGGCCTGAACTAATTGCTCTTTACTTAGGTGGTCTTAATTTCTTGTGCACGACTTTGTGTACTGCTCATCTGGGAGGGGGTCGGGTCTGCGACCGGGCCGCAAGGGCGTTGACCCTTGGAACACACTCCAGATATAATCTAGGTAAACGTAGCTCACGTGAAGTACGAGGAGATTTCCAAGGACTAGGTTGAAATGCCTCCTGGATGCTGACAAGTGTTCTTGGAAACCCCACCTGGCCGCCCACTCCAAGGCCTGTCTAAGAGACTACTTGTCCCCATGAGCTTGTGCAACCAAAAACTAATGTTTGGTTTGTATGCAGGATCCTTTCTATATTGGTACCACCTTCCTTCAAACATATTAACTGGGCACTCTAATTACAATCTGTTATGTGCAGAAAACTGCATATTCATCTTTCGACTTCTTCAAGGGGGGGGCTCCTTGGCGTGGTGAAGAGGCTCTTGGTCTGAGGAAGTAGACCTGTCGGTCTACTTCCTCAGACCGAACCTAATTACCCCCCAATCCCCCGTTCCCTATCCCATCCTCCCCATCCTCCCATTTTTCCTTTCCTCCTCCTCCTCCCCACCCCTCCCTTTTGCCCTTCCTTTTTGGCCTTTGGTTTTTTTTTCCCACAGGCACGCTAGCTCCTAGGTAGGGGAAAGGGTACCGGGGTCCATCCCATTCCGTTGAGGTTCTTGGCGGTGGCGTAGTTTGCCGTGGAATCTGGATTGCCTGGGGATGTCCTGATCCCTCTCCGGTATCCCGGAGGGTGGCTTTGGGTGTCTCTCGGGCGACGGGTGTATCTCTGGAAGCCACCTTTCGGATTCCGGGGGTGGTGGCCGAAGGAGGTATGTTTTGTGGCGGATTTCCGGCCGCCCTCTCTTTTGTCCACCGAGGTAGCTCGGCAGATGTGAGGTTGCTATCCCGGATTGCAGGTTTACTGGCATGATGGGTAGGGTATGGCACGGGTTCCATGCTGCATCTCCGCTACTTGCGGTGCTGAGGTCCTCTTGGGCACGGAGGGAGATTTCTGGCCCTTTCATTCCTCCTAGGAACTATCCCTCCCCGGTCCCCCCTTTTTTTATTCTTTTTTTTATTTTTATTTTCTTTTCTTCTTTCTTTTTTTTTCTTAAAAACAAAAAGAAAGAAGTAACCTAACCATGGCAGCCCTATTCCATGAACCTGCTACCCCCGGGCCCCTTCTTGATACCGCACCCCGTTCTGACCCCGCCTCATCTTTGGACCACTCTTTGGACACTCCTCATGCCTCTGTACCTCTTGCCGGTGCTGTTTCCTCACCTGCTTCAGGTACTGAGGCCTCGACTGACTCCTTCAATTTATCCGACCTTCGCTCTCCTCTGACTATGCTTCCGGCCTCTCCCTCTACGGTGCGGCAATTTTCGAATCGCTGGCCCGTTCCACGTCGGCCCAACTCTGGTCCCACGCCTAAACGCCAACGACAATTACCTGCTGATGATACTTCTCCACCTTCTCGTTCTTCTCAGAAAAGATCGACACGTCCTTCACTACCTTTCCACGCTCAGTTTCAAACTGCACAATGGACTAAATTCTTTACTTTACGACCGACTTCCTCTACTGCCTATCTTTCTGACCACAGTATTGGCAAGGCACTCCTACGCCATGTTGGTAAAGATATTTCTTTTCATGCTCTTAAGAGCGGTACGCTCATCATCACCGTACAGAATGCTACCCAGGCTCATGAGCTTTCTCGTCTTTCCCATATTGATACTGTTCCTGTAACTATTGAAAAGCATCATTCCCTCAATTCTTGTAGTGGTACCGTCATTCTGCCCCATACCATAGTTCAACACAATCTCCGAACATGTGGCACTGACATTCTTGAACAGCTGGAACTCCAAGATCTCCCAATCCTTAAGGTAGACACTTACGTTCTTCATGCCCGCAGGTGGAGACGATACCCTAGCAATGTGGCTCGTTTAACTTTTGACAGCCGTGAACTCCCATCCTCCGTTTATGTAGCAGGACATCAGTTACAAGCTCGAAAGGTGATCCCTACACCGCAACAGTGTAGAAATTGCTGGCGATTTGGCCATCCAGCGAAATATTGCAGATCTATCGCCGAATGCCCAGTCTGTGGTGCCGATGACCATTCTAATACGTCTTGCAATCGACCTCACTCTTGCCTTAATTGTCATGAGGCTCACCCTTCATACTCTCGCCGTTGTCAGTCTACTTAAACGAGCGGGAAATCCGTTACCTCAAAGAGGCAGAAGGTCTCCCTTATGCCATGGCAGTTTCTCATCTCCGCCTCCAAGGGAGACTACCTCGTGTTTCTTATTCCCGTGTTTCAAAACGTCCCCCCACTTCTGGTATCCCATCTTCTGCACCCACCTCTGTGGTTACCTCTCCCATAGTCACTCCTGTAGCTAATTCTTTTGCTGTCCTCGGCTCAGACGTCCCTACTTCAACGTCTCAGTCTGATCTCGCTTCTTCGTGTTCTCTCTCACAAGCCTCAGTAGCGACGAGATCTCGTATGACACCTCCTCCCAATCGTCCCTCTACTTCTCAAAAGTCAAAAAAAGGTCCGTTGACACCTCCTACCCATCTTCCACCTCTCATTTTCCCTTCCCTGTCTCTGTACCTGGTTCTCCCCCTCTCACTGGCTCTGTTACAAGTGTAGAGGTTCACCCTCCTCCTCGTACTGTACCTTCCTCCCCTGTTCCCTCCCAAGTTTCTTCCTCTGCCACCTCCCAGGTTTCTGCCTCTTCTGTCCCCTTCCACGCTTCTCCAGTTCCCTCCACCCTTTCGCCCCCCCCTACCTTGGTACAGTCCATTACAGTTCCAATCTTTACTCATCCTCCCCCTACCATTTCCAATATTGTCTCCCATACGACGTCTCTGAATTCTGAAACACTTGAAGCAATCTCTGAATATACTGCAGAGACCAAACCATCAATGGACACTGATCCAAACTCCGCTCCTTCTCTCTCCTCTACTCCATCTGCGCAACTCCTTTCTTCACACCGCACCGTTCCTTCGCTGCTTGAACGTTTTCCACTGCCTCTGCATGTGGACTTTTCTAACCCCTCTAGTCCATAGGAACCCTTACCTGCGGATTTCAGGTATCTTTATCATTGCCAATCATGGCCTATTTACAGTGGGATATACGCGGCCTCAGGGGTAATCGGGGTGAGCTTCAGATGTTACTCTCCCAGTTTCCCCCTGTTGGTGTTTGCTTACAGGAACCAAAATTACACTCTGCTGTTATCTCTCCCATCTCAGGCTATAATTTATTGTATTCTTCAGATCCTTTTCCTGATGGGACCTTTAATGAAAGTGCCCTTCTTCTATGCACTGATATTCCGTACCATCAGCTATTTGTTCGTACTTCACTGCATTACACAGCAGCCCGTATCCACTTGCATAGGTGGTATACGCTCTGTTCTTTATATCTCTCTCCTTCTCGGGCATTATCTATTCCGGATATTGCCTTTCTTGTTTCGTCATTACCACCACCGATTCTGTTACTTGGTGATTTTAATGCCCACCATTTCCTCTGGGGGGGGGTCTCACTGTGATTCCCGTGGCATTCAGTTTGAGGCTTTTCTTGCCACCACCCCCTCCATGTTTTAAATACAGGTACTCACACCCATTTTGATCCTCGGACTCACACTCTCTCTTGCATCGATCTCTCAGTCTGCTCTTCCTCCACCGCATTAGACTTCACTTGGTCTGTTCTTCCGGACTTACATGACAGCGATCATTTCCCAATCATTCTTACTTCCCCTTCATATTCACCACCTCTTCGCATCCCACGCTGGCAATTTGACCAGGCAAATTGGAACCTTTACTCACACCTAACTGTTCTTAGAGAGGTTCCTTCTTCGTCCTCCATCGATGAGCTTTTACACCTCTTCTCGTCCTCCGTTTTAACCGCAGCTTCTCATTCTATACCCCAAACTTCGGGCAGGCATTCTCAGAAATGCGTGCCTTGGTGGTCTCCTGCTTGTGCTCGTGCAGTACGTTTGAAACGCACTGCATGGGGCAGGTACCGGTACAATAGAACCACAGAGAGACTTCTTGATTTTAAGTAGAAGCCTGCGATCGCTCGCTGTGTCATCCGTGACGCTAAACGCACTTGCTGGCGAGATTATGTCTCCACCATCACCTCTGCTTCCTCTATGAGTGCAGTCTAGAAAAAGTACGAAAACTGAGTGGTAAATATTCTCCTGACCTGGCTCCTGTTCTGCGGGTTGCCGGTGTTGATATAGCAAACCCACTAGATGTTGCCAGTGAAATTGGCAATCATCTGGTCCATATTTCTCAGGGACTCCATCTATGCCCCTCATTTCTTTCATCAAAGTCTGCCAGAGAGTTAGCACCCTTGGACTTTTCTTCTCTCAGAGAAGAACAGTATAATGTGCCTTTTACACTTCAAGAACTGGAGGCAACACTCTTAGCTTGCCGATCATCGGCAGCTGGGCCCGACGACATTCATATTCGTATGCTACAACATTTACATCAGTCAGCCCTTGCAGTCCTATTACGCCTTTACAATCTTATTTAGTCACAAGGAGTTCTTCCACAGCTGTGGAAATCCCGTAGTGCCTGGTTTGTGGAAATCTCCCTTTCCACAAACCAGGCACTACGGGACATGAAACCTCCCACTATCGTCCCATTGCTCTTACCAGTGCAGTTTGCAAAGTGATGGAACACCTAGTAAATAGACGTTTAGTGTGGTATTTAGAGACACAACAGTCTCTCCACTTGTCAATTTGGCTTTCGTAAGGGACGTTCTACCATAGACCCCTTACTACGCTTGGATACGTATGTTCGTAATGCCTTTGCGGATAACCACTCAGTTATTGCCATATTTTTTGACCTTGAGAAGGCATATGACACAACTTGGAGGTATAATATTTTAGCCCAAGCCCACTCCTTAGGCCTTCGAGGCAATCTACCATCCTTCCTTAAGAACTTTTTAACTGACAGGCATTTCCGTGTTCAGGGTTTAAAAATGTGCTCTCCCGGACTTGATCCAAGCTGAAGGTGTCCCCCCGGGATGTGTTCTGAGCACAACACTTTTTCTCCTTGCTATTAATGATTTGGCCTCTAGTCTTCCATCAAATATTTGGTCATCACTCTATGTTGATGACTTCGCTATTGGGCCCGTGCAGGCGCTGACTGTCACCTTATTACAGTTTCTCTCCAGCATGCAGTCGACCGTGTTTCCAATTGGGCCACCACACGTGAGTTTAAATTTTCCAGCACTAAAACCCACCAAATTACTTTCACTAGACACTCTGTCATCTCCGATTATCCTTTGTACCTCTATGGCTCCCGTATCCCTGAACGTGATACAATCAAGTTTCTGGGCCCCTCTTTTGATCGTAGGTTATCCTGGAAACCTCAACATTACCTCTCTGAAGGCAACTTGTCACAGCTGGCTGAACCTTCTTAAAACCCTTGCTCATCTTTCATGGGGAGCTGATCGTCGAACCCTCCTTCGCCTACATTCCACCCTTATTTTATCGAAACTTGATTATGGTGACCAGATCTATTCAGCGGCATCTCCTGCTACTCTCTCTAGCCTTAACCCCATTCATCACCAAGGATTACATTTATGCCTTGGTGCTTTTCGCTCTTCCCCTGTCGAGAGCCTCTATGCAGAAGCGAACGTTCCATCCTTATCCGATCGCCGTGATGCCCATTGCCTTCGCTACTATGTACGCTCTCATGATCTCCGCAATCCTTCCATTTATAGAATGGTCACTGATATTAGTAGACATTCTTTATTTGTTCGCCGCCCCTGTTTACTCTGTCCCTTCTCTCTTCGCCTTCATTCGCTCTTGTCTTCTCTTCAATTACCACCTTTCTATGTACATGTAGCATCTCACTTTTCCCTACCCCCTTGGGAAGTTCCAGCTGTTCGAGTCTGTTCTTTCTCTCTCCCTTGCTCGTAAGCCCAACTGTCTACGGTCGCTTCCCGCTCTCTTTTTCTTGACCACTTTCACTCTCATTCTCATGCCATTGCTGTGTACACAGATGGCTCTAAGTCTTCTGACGGCGTAGGATTCACAGCAGTGTTTCCGGACAGCGTCGTACAAGGGCATTTACTATCTTCGGCTAGTATTTTTACTGCTGAATTGTATGCCATCCTTACAGCACTTATCCGTATTGCATCTATGCCTGTGTCATCATTTGTGGTTGTCTCAGACTCCCTTAGTGCTTTACAGGCTATACAGAAATTTGATACACCTCACCCCTTAGTCCTCCATATCCAACTTTGGCTACGCCGCATCTTTACCAAGCATAAAGATGTTGTTTTTTTTGGGTCCCTGGTCATGTTGATGTACAGGGCAATGAACAGGCAGACACTGCTGCGCGTCAGCAGTACATGACCTACCAGTTTCATGTAGAGGTATTCCATTTACGGACTATTTTGCTGCAATATCTTCCCAACTTCACACCCGTTGGCAACAACGTTGGTCTACTATGCTCGGCAACAAACTTCAATCTATTAAACCGAGTATAGGTTACTGGCCGTCTTCTTATCACCAGTGTCGAGGTTGGGAGACTACTCTCTCCCGTCTTCGCATTGGCCATACTCGTCTTACTCATGGATATCTCATGGAGAGGCGCCCTGCTCCTCTCTGTGAGAATTGCCAAGTTCCATTATCAGTCAGCCACATTCTGTTGGACTGCCCACTTTATCAACGAGCACGCAGAATTTACCTCCGTCGTCGTCTTCGCTCTGCTGCTCTCTCTTTACCTTCCCTTCTCGCTGATGGACCCACCTTTCATCCAGACTCTCTCATTGACTTTTTGACAACAACTGACTTACTTCACAAATTCTGATACCTTCAGCCCTTTCTACCTCAATCTCTTGCTACCCTCTACCCCAGTACTATCCCCTGCCCCGCTGTTTTCTGTAACCTACTGATCATCCCTCCTTCCTTCTGCCATCCAATACCCTCGCTTCCTTCCCTACCCTGCAGCGCTGTATAGCCCTTGTGGCTTAGCGCTTCTTTTTGATTATAATAATAATAATCATGTCTTTCGAGATCAGAAGAGGACTTTGCCGGAACTTTTAACATATATTCAGCAATCTCTTTGGTAATTTATGTTTTTTATCGTTCAACAGGTAATAGTAAGAAGCAGTGAAGAGAAGAGGTGGTAAAAAGCAGCGAGGGGACGCCAGTGTAACATATTCCTGATGTTAAGGAGGGACATCATCTTCTCTGGCTCCTCAAGGCGACTCTTCTCACCTACAGGCTGAAGAATAAATTACATGGCTGTAACAATTCATAACTAACCCACAAATTAGAAATCAAAACAAGATGACTTTTCAGTTAGCCCTGGACCATTGTCAAATCATGAGTCACTTGATAAAATTGGCCCAGGATGGCCGAAACTTCATCGTTTTCATTTCTATTTAGTGGGTTTCTCGTGAACCAACAGTCCCTTCCCATTCACCTTTCTTAACTTAGTTTAAGTCTATTAGAAAAGAGTGTACAAACAAGATTCATCGTCTTCATCTTGGCGTTCGAAAGAGTATTATATATATGATAATGTCCATCTAGGGGCCCTCAACAGTCTTGTTATTACCGATCAACGCAAAGTTCACGAAAAATGGTTTATAAGTCATTGAAAAGAAAATTATGTATATATATTTTTCCCCTCACGATTATTTTTATTGTTGTACTGCATTTTTAAGTGTCCTAAATACATCTATATATCTGTTGAAGACTTTGATGTTCCGTCTAATCTGAAATGGAGTCAGATCTGAGCATATTTTTGGAATATGGTGGTAGAAGCGCCTCAGGTTTGGAATCCAGATATGGATGTTTTCCTGAGTTATGGCCACTTGTATTGCAATGTCTCCACCTGTGTTGCAATACGGCCACCTGCGATGCAGTGTGGCCACCTGTGTTACAATACGGCCACCTGCGATGCTGTGTGGCCGTACTGTTGAACTTGAGTAGTCTTGCTGCCAACTGTCTTTAGGGGAAAAGAAATACGATTGTATGGCTTAGTGTTCAAATGAATTACAGTGTTTACGTTCCTCCGATTGTGTGTTTTATTATCCTCTGTTTATATTGACCAAGTCAGTCACTCTCTCTTCAAAAGGGAAGGGGCGGGGTTGCCTTTATGCTGGTGATCTCTCATTCCCCAGGAGCTTGTAGTGTCCCCTACGGGTTTAACGCTTCATAAATAAAATCTGTCGAGAATGTGATTTTACTGCAAATTTTAATAAATACTGGCTTGCACTCTTGTAGGTGAATAAATGGAAAACATGAATAAAAGGATATAAACAGTGCTGAGAATATCTAAACAGGATATAGTAACGCACTTTTATGGTAGCATCATTAATGCAAAACCTGTGAAGTGGCTTTTAATATAGCTTGGACGGGTACATGAGTGGGCTTGGAGTTGGTTCTGCCTTACATGAACCAATAGGCCTAACGCAATATTCCTTTATAATACATTTAATGTCAAGAATCTAATTACCTAATTTACACATACATAATTCCTGATATTAACTTAGCAATTTGGACCACCGGCAGAACACACCCTAATGCTACCTAGCCAGCTAGACATGTGAAGGCCAACGTAAGATTACTGAACAAAGGTGAGCGATACTTAGGGAATGGTGTGCTGTAGGAAATCACTGGTGTCCCTCCATATTTCCCAATTTGACTGCTCTATTTCAGTAGTTTTCCACATGAATTTGTTCCATCCAGCCGTGGAGGATGCTACTGATTCATTTCTATCATGGCTTCCTCACAATTGTCTATTCTCACCACCCTATTATGGTGGGTTCGTTAATTTCCTGTCCCAAATTCTACTCAGGGGACACTGACACGAATTCATATTACGATGTGAGGCAAATATTCATCATTAGGTCTCGGAATACCTGGAAAGTTTATTTGGAGAGAGTTCCGGAGGTCAACACCCCCACGGCCCGGTCTGTGACCAGGCCTCCTGGTGGATCAGAGCCTGATCAACCAGGCTGTTACTGCTGGCTGCACGCAATCCAACGTACGAGCCACAGCCCGGCTGGCCAGGTACCGACTTTAGGTGCTTGTCCAGTGCCTGCTTGAAGACAGCCAGGGGTCTGTTGGTAGTCCCCCTTATGTATGCTGGGAGGCAGTTGAACAGTCTCGGGCTAGTGATACCCCTGCTTTTTATTACCTGGAGTTTACCTGGAGAGAGTTTCGGGGGTCAACGCCCCCGCGGCCCGGTCTGTGACCAGGCCTCCTGGTGGATCAGCGCCTGATCAACCAGGCTGTTGCTGCTGGCTGCACGCAAACCAACGTACGAGCCACAGCCCGGCTGATCAGGAACTGCCTTTAGGTGCTTGTCCAGTGCCAGCTTGAAGACTGCCAGGGGTCTGTTGGTAATCCCCCTTATGTGTGCTGGGAGGCAGTTGAACAGTCTCGGTCCCCTGACACTTATTGTATGGTCTCTTAACGTGCTAGTGACACCCCTGCTTTTCATTGGGGAAATGTTGCATCGTCTGCCGAGTCTTTTGCTTTCGTTGTGAGTGATTGTCGTGTGCAAGTTCGGTACTAGTCCCTCTAAGATTTTCCAGGTGTATATAATCATGTATCTCTCTCGCCTGCGTTCCAGGGAGTACAGGTTCAGGAACTTCAAGCACTTCCAGTAATTGAGGTGTTTTATCTCCGTTATGCGCGCCGTGAAGGTTCTCTACATTTTCTAGGTCAGTAATTTCACCTGCCTTGAAAGGTGCTGTTAATGTGCAGCAATATTCCAGCCTAGATAGAACAAGCGATTTGAAGAGTGTCATCATGGGCTTGGCCTCCCTAGTTTTGAAGGTTCTCATTATCCATCCTGTCATTTTTCTAGCAGATGCGATTGACACAATGTTATGGTCCTTGAAGGTGAGATCCTCCGACATGATCACTCCCAGGTCTTTGACGTTGGTTTTTCGCTCTATTTTGTGGAAGGAATTTATTTTGTACTCTGATGAAGTTTTAATTTCCTCATGTTTACCATATCGGAGTAATTGAAATTTCTCATCATTGAACTTCATATTGTTTTCTGCAGCCCACTGAAAGATTTGGTTGATGTCCGCCTGGAGCCTTGCAGTGTCTGCAATGGAAGACACTGTCATGCAGATTCGGGTGTCATCTGCAAAGGAAGACACGGTGCTGTGGCTGACATCCTTGTCTATGTCAGACATGAGGATGAGAAACAAGATGGGAGCGAGTACTGTGCCTTGTGGAACAGGGCTTTTCACTGTAGCCGCCTCAGACTTTACTCTGTTGACTACTACTCTTTGTGTTCTTTTGTGAGGAAATTATAGATCCATCTACTAAATTTTCCTGTTATTCCTTTAGCATGCATTTTGTGCGCTATTATGCCATGGTCACACTTGTCGAAGGCTTTTGCAAAGTCTGTATATATTACATATGCATTCTTTTTGTCTTCTAGTGCATCCAGGACCTTGTCGTAGTGATCATACGCCGAAGTTCTGGTACAAATTTCTAATCAGTCATTCCGCAATTGAATTCAGTATGGAGTCTCCCTTCCACATTTTCTACGAGTCAAATCAGCATCATTTTAATATATTATTTTCATTGTTGAAATATACATATTATAATCTCGGAATTTCTCATAGACTGTAAGTATTAACTGGTCATTTGAATTATAAAGACCCGGGTATGGAAACTTTTCTTATGTCTCCTGAAGAATGAAATAAGAACAGGCAAGGTTATATACACACAGAGGTGTGTATCTCCCAGTGTATGTATCCTGAGAGGTCATTTTTATCCTTATTTTAGGGATTCAAGTATCCTGGATTGGTGTACAGGTGAACTGCAGCCTTAATAACCCTCGAGTAATCTATAGTCTTTAAATTTAATAAATCAACCAAGTTTTTATTCTAAGGTAAGATAAGAGATAAGATTTAGTTCGGATTTTTAACCCCGGAGGGTTAGCCACCCAGGATAACCCAAGAAAGTCAGTGCGTCATCCAGGACTGTCTAACTTATTTCCATTGAGGTCCTTAATCTTGTCCCCCAGGATGCGACCCACACCAGTCGACTAACTCCCAGGTACCTATTTGTTGCTAGGTGAACAGGACAACAGGTGTAAGGAAACGTGTCGAAATGTTTCCATCCGCCGGGAATCGAACCCGGGCCCTCCGTGTGCGGAGCGGGAGCTTTAGCCACCAGGCCACCAATGGAAATAAGTAAAGAACCCAATGGAAATAAGTCACTCTGTCTGACTTTTTTGGGTTATCCTAGGTTCTCTACACATATGCTGCTATGTACGATAATTCTATGTAACTGTGTGTGTACCTGAATAAACTTACTTACACCGAGCCATCTAGACAACGTTTCACTCTGGAATAAGCTTTATCGAATGACATAAAGCTCATTCTGGACGAAACGTGGTTTAAAATTACAGTTTTGACCAGCATTACTACTCCTGACAGTCACTCGATAAGAAATCGAGACGATAAGTTAGCACTCAGACGAGCACATCTAATGGTGGACTTCTGCGCCGGTCTCGTTGGAGTGTGGATGTTTTGTTTTACCCCTGCCTTGAGCATCATTGTCGAATTTCCCAAGTTATTCTTCTACTGGGACGTTTGTTCTCATCATACAATGCCCAAGGCTGGGAAATTAATCTGCAGGACATGTGCAGGGTGACATGACATATATTAGATCCTTCTAGGTCTAAAGAAAAGCCTGTTGTTGTTGACTCAAATAAGTTTATTTAAGTCCAGGTACAAGTAAGTACAGCTATACAAATTTATGGTAATTAGGGGAAATTGCCTAGGATAACCCCCATAAAATCTGGCAAAGTGACTTATTTCCTTTGGAGTCCCTGTAATATCTTATTATTTAAATCTTAGCAAGGGGGTTCACTAGATTTAAGTGGAAACATTATTCTTGTTTCTCTTTCCTGAGGAAACTTTGTTTCCTTTATTATTTCCACCCATATGTGGGAAATATTTTTCCGGTTATCTAAGGTATGCTGCTATGCATGATAATTTATGTAACTGTATTTATGTGTAACTATACCTGAATAAAACTTACTTGGGAGACAAGGCTCAGTAAAACTTAATCTTTGGTGACCCTTATCAAGAACGAAAACATCTTATGGTGGCGTCGTAGCCGGTAATTATCTCTTTATCTCCTCCTCATCTCTCTTATATATTTTCTATTCAAGGGAAAGAGCTACCTGTATGCTATTGAAGGGTTTTAGGTCCAAGGAATAGGAGTCTAACCTTTGGATCAACACCAATTACCTCCTGTTCCCCAGGCGCAGGAGGACCTCTTACTGGCTCAACATTTCCATCATTACCTGTTATTATGATAATGTTATCTTAACTCTCCCCATCTCTGGTTCCTGGTTATCACCCGTGGTATCAGTATCCTCCCCCTGGTATGTGCTATAGAATTTATGGGGCTGTGCCTGGTAATGTGACGCTAGTGAGAGTGTGGACTCTGGACGACTGATTTTTATGGTGGCAGAACAATGTTAGTGTAGAAGATACTATAATGTAATGCTATAATTGTGGTCCCGGTGGCTAATAATGTTTGATTTGTGTTCTGACTTTTAATGTTAATGCATTATTAAGTTTGGACTAGTCAGTGGCCCCAATGGAAATATGTCACTTAGTCTAACTTTTGTTTTTGGGTTATCTTAGATAATCTACACATATACTAGTATGTATAATAATTTATATAACTGTATTTTTGTGTACCTTTACCTTAATAAACTTACTGTAGTTGTGTTCGGGCTGATTAATGTTTTTTTTTTTTTTATTAACACACTGGCCGATTCCCACCAAGGCAGGGTGGCCCGAAAAAGAAAAACTTTCACCATCATTCACTCCATCACTGTCTTGCCAGAAGGTGCTTTACACTACAGTTTTTAAACTGCATCATTAACACCCCTCCTTCAGAGTGCAGGCACTGTACTTCCCATCTCCAGGACTCAAGTCGGATTATTAACCCCCCAAAGGTTTAGTAACCCTAAATAATAAAAAAAAAGTCAGACGATGCATCTTATTTCCATTAGTCTTTTTTAAAACCACAACAGTCGACTGACTTTCAGGTACTTATTTATTGCTAGGCAACAGGGTCAGTACCCCTCAAGGAAGGTTCCTTGATGTTGGTGAGGGGCTCTTGATTTAGGGAATTGGATCTGTGCTCCAGTTTCCCAAATTAAGCCTGAATACCTTCCAAAACCCCCTCCCCAGGCGCTGTATAATCCTCTGGGTTTAGCGCTTCCCCCTTGATTATAATAATAATAATAACAGGGTCAGTAGGTGATAGGAGACTAACATATGTCCCACCTTGCAGTTGAGGACTGTCTTATTTCCATTAGGATCCTTTAATCTTGTCCCTCAGGATGCAACCCACACCAGTTGACTAACACCCAGGTGCCTACTTACTGCTAGGTGAACAGGGACAGCAGGTTTACGGGAACGTGCCCAATGTTTCCACTCATTCTGTGATTGAACCATTGACACTCAGTGTGTGAGGCGAGTGCACTGCCAATGTTGAACTATAATTGTGTTCTGACTCGTTTTAACTTGATTGTGTCATTAATGGTTTATATTATATTAATATGGCTTGTAGCTGTGGTATCATGTTTCGCTTACAGTTGAAGGACCAGAGTTCAAGCTTTAGCAAGTCAAGATGTACAGGCTGATCTTACACCTGTTGCAGTAAATAGTACCCTGGTATTAACCAGCTGTTGCAGTTCACATCCTGGGAAAGAGGACTGAAGAACTTCCATTGAAATAAATCATCTTCTGGATTTTGCTGTGTTTCCTGGATTACTAACTCAAGAGGGTTTTTAACTCAGGATAACCCAAGAAAACAAGAAATGTGGCTTATTCCCATTGGGGTCCTCCATTTTATGGCTTCTCCGAGAATGCGATCCACATCATACCACTATCTTCTAAGTGTGTACACTACGTACTTCTATGTAGGAGGGGCAGCATGTGTTTTGGAGATGTTTATATGTCCCACCTCATCCAGAGTTCTACCCTGGGTCCTTTGTTGTGAGCCAAGTGCACTACCAGTGAGAGCCTTGTAAATTGGCCAAACAACTGCAGTAGTTAGTGCAATTGAATAGCGTATTTTCTAATTTGTATGTGTAGTGTTATTCACTAACAGTCAAAAAGTTCTTTGTGATTTTCATTAGGTGTTAATGCTGATGTTTCTGGTCCATGCAATAGTAGGCAACCAAACAATGGCAAATACACTAAACATTTTAAGATATCTACTTCACTTTGAGTTTTTTTGTGTTTACCAGGTTTTCATTTGAGACTGAGCAGAGCACATGGAGCATGGCAACTCCTCCACAGCTATGTGATCTCAACGTAAAGGTTGAAACAGAGGACGCCAGTAAACCTCGTTGCCTGCTTGACATGACAGTGAGTAATCTTTAAGTAAATATTTTATTTTATTCCTATACTTTGGATATGTATTTCGGTGCAGTATGTGATCAAATTAATTTCAAAGTTTAGTTATGCTTACCATAAAAATATAAACATCATTTGTTTTCTTAAGTTGCAATGTAATTTCCTTTGGTGAAAATCAAATTCACTTAATTACATAGCTTCAAGATTTAGCTTATTTTAGCACTGTACTTTTGTGACACTTCATTCCACTAGAGACAGCAGTGATGTAACATTTTCTTGTATCCATCTTAGCATTAATATATTTGCAGTCATGATTTTCTAAAATTTAAAGCAGTGTTGCAGGTAAAATCAAAGAAATTTGCGAGTACATAGTTTTCTTTATACCTGCTTCCCCTATACTTAAATAATGTAGCTTTTTATGCTGACTTTAAAAATACAGTACATAATGTACTCAAAGTATGTTTACTTATTCATAAATTTAATATATCAGTTGTGTCCCGTTGAGGTAGGGTGACAAAAAAACAAAAAGAGGAAGCTCCTTCAGCATCATTCATCTGCTGTCTTACCAGAAGAGTGCTGACATCACAATTCATAACAACATAAACATGTAGTTCAGCATAAATATGCTGTATGTTGGTCATTCTGCAGTAGTGAAGGCATGAACTTCCATTTACTGATCACTAGACACTAACACTACTCCTGCAGCCAAGTGAAGAACAGTTTAATTATGCCTAACTAGCTACTTTTGTTCTGTCTAGGAATTAATAAATATTTGTGAAGGGATTCAGGAAAACCAGTTAGCCAGACTTGAGTCCTAGAGGTGGGAAGTAAATAAGTTTGTTTAGGTATAGGTATACACATAATTTTTTTTTCTCAACAAGTCGGCCTTCTCCCACCAAGGTAGGGTGACTCAAAAAGAAAGAAACTCCCCAAGAAGAAAATACTTTCATCAATATTCAACACTTTCACCTCACTCACACATAATCACTGCCTTTGGAGAGGTGCCCAGATACAACAGTTTAGAAACATATATAAAGATATAGAACATACCCCTCCAAACTGCCAATATCCCAAGCCCCTCCTTTAAAGTGCAGGCATTGTACATACTTCCCATTTCCAGTACTCAAGTCTGGCTATATAAAAATAACCGGTTTCCCTGAATCCCTTCACTAAATATTACCCTGCTCACGCTCCAACAGCTCGTCAGGTCCCAAAAACCATTCATTTCCATTCAATTCTATCTAACATGCTCACACATGCTTGCTGGAAGTCCAAGCCCCTCGCCCACAAAACCTCCTTTACCCCCTCCCTCCAACCTTTTCAAGGATGACCTCTACCCTGCCTTCCTTCCCCTACAGATTTATACACTCTCCAAGTCATTCTACTTTGATCCATTCGATCTGAATGACCAAACCACCTCAACAGTCCCTCTGAATAATACTTTTAGTAACTCCACACCACCTCCTAATTTCCACACTTCGAATTCTCTGCATAATATTTACACCACACATTGCCCTTAGATAGGACATCTCCACTGCCTTCAGCTGCCTCCTTGCCACAGCATATGCATCCCAAGCTTCACACCTATATAAGAGTGTTGGTACTGCTATACTTTTGTACATTCCCTTCTTTGCCTCCATGGGAAATGTTTTTTTGTCTCCACAGATACCTCAACGCACCACACCTTTTTTTCTTCATCAGTTTTGTGATTAACCTCATCCTTCATAAATGCATCTGCTGACACATCAACTCCCAAATGTCTGAAAACATTGACTTCCATACTCCCTCTCTCCAATGTGATATCCAATTTTTCTTTATCTAAATCATTTGATACTCTCATCACCTTAATCTTATCAGTGTTCACTTTCAACTTTCTACCTTTACACATACATAAATACATTCACATAAATTATCCTACATAGCAGCATATGTGTAGATTACCTAGGATAACCCAAGAAAGTCAGACAAAGTTACTTATTTCCATTGGGGTTCTTGACCCCAGATATGTTGCAGTTTTTGAATTACTATAGTATCTGCACGCCTCGGCAAGACAGTGATGAAGTGAATGATGATAAGTGTTTCTTCGTTTTCGAGTCACCCTACCTTGGTGGGAAATGGCCGATGTGTTAAAAAAACAAAAATTGCTTTTCAGATAATGAAAGATCCTCAAGTCGGTGAACTAGAATTTGTAAGACTGGAGCTTATGCCAGAGGCACTGACTGCTGCCATTGACTCTCTGACTAAAGTACGTGCCCAGTTGGATTCCATTGCTAAAAAAACTCAATCTTGAAGTGCTCTGGGCATACCCAAGTGATTGTTTGAAATGATTTGAAAAATACTGTTCCTTAAAATATTTTATTGTAAATTATTCTGTTAAATAGTAGCACACTTGCAATGAAGGCAAATATTTTCAGGATTATTAATTTGAGAAAATTTAAGAAGTTACGATTATGATTATCTTTAATTTATTGATAATTAATTTCATGAAAATTAAATAAAGGATAAGTTTAGCAGTACAAGTCATGTAATTGTAATATTAAGTACTCATTCATTGATTTTGTGACTGATAATGCTGCTGAGCAGTGATTAGTGTATAGAGGAAAAGAAATCACTTTGCGGGAAAAAAAAAGAAATAAAAATCGGAGCCATCAGGTTCTCCAGTAACAGAAATAGCAGAGTCCAGATAGTGAAGGGCTGCACAGGGATGGAGGTGGAGGAAAGTTTGTCAGAGAAAGTGGAGGGAGAAGATGGATTTTCTTTCCACCCCCAGCGAGAGAAGAGGAGCACAAGGCCTGAGCTCACACCACCCAAATTCTTCAGACACCAACGAAAAAGACAGCACCAAGATAACAAACGGAGGTGAGAATTTCATGGCCAAGTACAGCACATTAAGTAAATTACTTTAAAAAACATTTATCTTTATATATTCAAGTTAGTCTATGTACTGTAACATATAATGTTGTGATCCTCAGTTTTACATATAAAAAAAATTGCAAACGTAATTATTGACATGTAGTGCATTAAGCAGTAAGTGTAATGTTGAACAGTAGAAACATGTAAATTAAATCATCGTTTGAAGACAGGAACAAGTATATGAGGAGTAAGATGTACACACTGGGGAAAGCACTGGAAACTCATAAACTCATGATATCTTTTGCAGTCGGGGCTTTCTTGCACAGGATGGCAACAAATTCCCTCTGCTTGACTTTATAGACCATATCCAGGCCCAGGTAGCAGTGGAAGAACATTTCAGTAAGCACTTCACCTTCAAAAAGATGTCAGAAATGGGAGGAAATGATGCTTGGAAACTTCCTGCAGCAGAAACTATGTATACACAGTCAACTTGGCAGGTAAGTACAGGTTGGCCATCATTAATTCGGCAATCGGTTATCCAGTTCTATCAGTAATCCAGCACTAATTTTGGCTAGCATAATTTCATATTTCATCATTATACTGACTCAAATCATTATTCTGACTCAAATTTCATCATTATATTGACTCAGAAATTGTTTAGATGGTTGTAAATCCATCAGCAAGCCAGTGGAGGAGAAAGCAGTGATGACAATGAGGAAGATGTAGCAAAAAGAGTCTCTATTGATAGATCAATTAAGTGTATTCTAACCTTACCACTCCATAATCCAGCAAACTCACTAATCCGGCACACTACAGGTCTCAGTGATGCCGGATTAGTGATGGCCGACCTTTATTTATTTGGTTAACATGCAGATGAGGAATTGAGAATTTCTTCCTTCATGCAGTACAAGACTTGTGTTTCAGAAGAGGTAGACCTGCTGTCACACTTTCCTGTCTTGGACAATATATGGGCCATTCAGCTTTAGTTGTTGAAGCTTAATCCTGTCTGCTAATCACCAGATATGCTTGGTAATTTCTTGACAACAGGTGCTTTATGACCCCTGTGGGTTTAGTGATCCCCATGAATGTAATGATATTATTATTCAAAGTTAAAGGTCATTTTTATTGTCATTTCCAGCAATGAGGAATTGCTTAAATGATGACAAAGTTGCATATTTTCAGGAAAATATTGGTAAAAGATCACTGTATCATTAAATGTTGAATACAGTTTCAGGAAAAGATTCTATATCTTGCTCTCTTAATAGAGGGGAATTTTTAGAGGAAACAATAATTTGCAGATAGTCTGAATAAAGTTTATTTATAATTTGATTATATTGTACTTATCTTTCATAGACTAAAGCAGATGACTGAAAATTCTTATATTATTCACATTGTGTTTTTTGTAGTCATTTGTTTTTCCTAGGATGAAGAGCTCCAGGCTATGAAGGTAACACTAAATAAGACTAAGGAGCAGCTTAGTGACAAAGATATAGAAGTATGGCACTCACACACCAATAACACCAACCCCACTCAGAAGGTTTCGTATGCCATCAGATGTCGTGCTCAGCCAGAAATGGTTACACAAGTATGTTGTATTTTCATCTGTTTAGTAGAGCCTTGTAGGTATTACTGTTTGAGAACAGGGTATGAAATCCAACTTTATATAGATGAGACATTTTGAAGGCCTCATAAATATTTATATATTTTATTTTTTGATACATTGGCTGTATCTCACTGAGGCAGGGTGATCTAAAAAGAAAAACGAAAGTTTTCTTTTTTAAATTTAGTAATAAATTTTCATATATAGTACTTTAATTATTAGATTGCTATTCTTGTCTATATTAAAATGCTTAAGAGAGAACAAAACAAAAACTTGATAGATTTATGCATTAAGATTGCATGTTTGTGTATGCCCTATGCATTAAGTTTGCATGTTTGTGTATGCCCATTCATGTGTGTGCCTATTTTTTTTTTTTTTTTTCCCAACAAGTCGGCTGTCTCCCACCGTGGCAGGGTGACCCAAAAAAGAAAGAAAATCCCCAAAAAGAAAATACTTTCATCATCATTCAACACTTTCACCACACTCGCACACTATCACTGTTTTTGCGTTTTTGCAGAGGTGCTCAGAATACAACAGTTTAGAAGCATATACATATAAAGATACACAACATATCCCTCCAAACTGCCAATATCCAAACCCCTCCTTTAAAGTGCAGGCATTGTACTTCCCATTTCCAGGACTCAAGTCCGACTATATGAAAATAACCGGTTTCCCTGAATCCCTTCACTAAATATTACCATGCTCACACTCCAACAGATCGTCAGGTCCCAAGTACCATTCGTCTCCATTCACTCCTATCTAACACGCTCACGCACGCTTGCTGGAAGTCCAAGCCCCTCGCCCACAAAACCTCCTTTACCCCCTCTCTCCAACCCTTTCGAGGGCGACCCCTACCCCGCCTTCCTTCCCCTATAGATTTATATGCTTTCCATGTCATTCTACTTTGATCCATTCTCTCTAAATGACCAAACCACCTCAACAACCCCTCTTCTGCCCTCTGACTAATACTTTTATTAACTCCACACCTTTTCCTAATTTCCACACTCCGAATTTTCTGCATAATATTTACATCACACATTGCCCTTAGACAGGACATCTCCACTGCCTCCAACCGTCTCCTCGCTGCTGCATTTACCACCCAAGCTTCACACCCATATAAGAGTGTTGGTACTATTATACTTTCATTCATTCCCTTCTTTGCCTCCATAGATAATGTTTTTTGACTCCACATGTACCTCAATGCACCACTCGCCTTTTTTCCCTCATCAGTTCTATGATTAACCTCATCCTTCATAAATCCATCCGCCGACACGTCAACTCCCAAGTATCTGAAAACATTCACTTCTTCCATACTCCTCCTCCCCAATTTGATATCCAATTTTTCTTTATCTAAATCATTTGATACCCTCATCACCTTACTCTTTTCTATGTTCACTTTCAACTTTCTACCTTTACACACATTCCCAAACTCATCCACTAACCTTTGCAATTTTTCTTTAGAATCTCCCATAAGCACAGTATCATCAGCAAAAAGTAACTGTGTCAATTCCCATTTTGAATTTGATTCCCCATAATTTAATCCCACCCCTCTCCCTAACACCCTAGCACTTACTTCTTTTACAACCCCATCTATAAATATATTAAACAACCATGGTGACATTACACATCCCTGTCTAAGACCTACTTTTACTGGGAAGTAGTCTCCCTCTCTTCTACACACCCTAACCTGAGCCTCACTATCCTCATAAAAACTCTTTACAGCATTTAGTAACTTACCACCTATTCCATTTACTTGCAACATCTGCCACATTGCTCCTCTATCCACTCTATCATATGCCTTTTCTAAATCCATAAATGCAATAAAAACTTCCCTACCTTTATCTAAATACTGTTCACATATATGCTTCAATGTAAACACTTGATCTACACATCTCCTACCCACTTTGAAACCTCCTTGCTCATCCACAATCCTACATTCTGTCTTACCTCTAATTCTTTCAATTATAACCCTACCGTACACTTTTCCTGGTATACTCAGTAAACTTATTCCTCTATAATTTTTACAATCTCTCTTGTCCCCTTTTCCTTTATATAAAGGGACTATACATGCTCTCTGTCAATCCCTAGGTACCTTCCCCTCTTTCATACATTTATTAAACAAAAGTACCAACCACTCCAACACTACATCCTCCCCTGCTTTTAACATTTCTGTCATGATCCCGTCAGTTCCAGCTGCTTTACCCCCTTTCATTCTACGTAATGCCTCACGTACCTCCCCCACACTTACATTCTGCTCTTCTTCACTCCTAAAAGATGGTATACCTCCTGACCAGTGCATGAAATTACCACCTCCCTTTCTTCCTTAACATTTACAAGTTCCTCAAAATATTCTCGCCATCTACCTAATACCTCCATCTCCCCATCTACTAGTTTTTAACTGACAAATCCATACTTTCCCTAGGCTTTCTTAACTTGTGTGCCTATATTGCAGAAAATTATGTTAGTGTTATGAACATTAAACCAAGTAGATATTTTATAAAGGCCTTTAGTGCTCCTATATAGCAAGGACGTTATTTTTTCAGGCCTGGTTAAAGTTTTACGAGATAGTCAACAAATACCCAACCGTTCCAGTGGATGTAGAGACTAAGGAATCAGAGAATAGTTTTGATGCAGGAGATCAAGGCCAGAGTGCCCACTCAGACGAAGGTAGCACACACTTCAACTCTGTGCACTTGTGTGAGGCACCAGGGGCATTTATCTTGGCACTCAATCACTACTTAGCACTAAATAGATCAACCCTCAAGGTATGTGACATTGTGATTGAACTATTGTGAGGTTACTGTTGATGACAAACCAGAGATATCATAATGAATAGCTTACCTTATCCTATTAAGACAGTATAACTTAGTGTAGTCACTAGAGTGCAAATTTAGTTTGAATTTTTAATATCATATACTGTATAGAATATGTATGAACAGTTATACATAAACCATACTACGGGTGGGGTTTGAACCCACTTTCAGAGAGTCTCAAAACTCCAGACCATCGTGTTAGCCGTCATGTTGACGGCTTTGAGGGGACTTGACCTAGAGTTCGTCACGGCCATGCTAGCAGGAGATTCGTCTATAAAAACTTGCATTTGTGGTTACCGTGGTGCCTATGCTAACCTTCCTATGGTGTAGAAATATACCTAGTTGAATGAATCTTATTGAAGCTAGCTGGCCCAGTGGCTAACGCGACAGTCTGGACTTTTGAGACTTTCTGACCGCGGGTTCAAACCCCACCCTTAGTATGGTTTGTTTGCAATCGTGTCGTTAGGATTTTGTGAGTTATACATAAAATTATCAAGAAATCATTTCTTACAGTAAACTCCAAGTAAGGATCTGTCAACTTGCTTGTCACTACACACAGTAGAGTAATTATGGTAGTGTACATAAAACTGTTAAGGTAAATGCAACCAATGTTAGATTAAAAATAACAACTTCCAGTTTTTGCTCTTATTCTCATTTAAGACACAATTAGTCCACCCTGTCTTGAATAAACCACTGTAACTTGTATTCTTAGTATTGTATTGGGATATTTCCCAGCTGGTTGAGCCAATTTTTTGCTTAATAGGACTGATAGGTTAGCTTTAACTTCTTTATTGACACAACATCTATGTTCCTGAAGGTGAGAGAAGTGTAGAGGAGAGAATTTAAGGAGATCTTACATTAATATTTAGGGAATTTTGAGCCAGGTGAAAATTGTTTTGGGAGAGACCTTAATACTAAGTGAGAGATGCTGTTGTGGAAGGTTAGCAGGAATGTCTTTAAAAATGGAGACTGGTCTTTAGAAGATATATTATTTTAAAACATGAAGATCCTTATTTTTAGTAAGGTTATTAAATTATGTGGACTTTTTCCTTTACCTTTTTCAGTGGCAATGGTTGGGCAACACACTGAATCCATATTATGAAGGTACACCACTAGACCAGTGCATAACTGAGGATCGCTTCATCTATCTCACATTAAAGAAATGGTCATTTGGCAGAGACAACACTGGAGATATTATGGTATGGGATAACTTGTGCAGTATTGTGAAGGACGCACAATGTCTTGGACCAATCCATTTGGTGACTGCAGATGGGAGCTTTGATTGTCAGGCTAATCCATCTGAGCAGGAGAAGATGACTCATTCCTTACATTTGTGTGAGATTGTTGCAGCAATGCATTTATTGGCTCCTGGAGGATCATTGGTAGTTAAGAAATTTACTCTTTTTGAAAGTGACACAGTAGCACTTTTGTATTTGTTATGTTGTGTTTTTGAACATGTTCACCTGTATAAACCTGGGACTAGTAAGCAGGGCAACTCTGAGGTTTATGCCATTGCCTTAAATTATTGTGGCAAGGACAAATGTAGTGAACACCTAAATAAATTGTCCGAAGTTTATGGTCCAAATGTTCATCCAAAATCAATGTTTGCACTAGATGACATACCTAAGGAATTTATACATCAAATGAGAGTGTGTGCTGACATGTTTATGCAGCATCAGATCACTACAATAAAGCGTAACATAGCTTTATTTCCAAATATGCCAGAGAAGGACAAACAATATAATGAATTACTCAAAGTCAAAGCAACCACTTTGTTTTTTGAACGAAATTACTGTGTGCCAATACCAATGGATAAAACAATTACAGACGGTAATGTCAACAAATCTCGACACCTTTTAGAAAGTGACTGGAACAAAACTGGGAGTGCAATGCTTATGAGAAATAATTGTGTAAGGTCTAAACTGGAAATACTTCATCTGTTTTTAAATAGCTGTATAAACGATTACTCATGTGTAAGATCCGATAATGATTTAAAAGGAATTAGAACTGTACAAGCTTCTGCAAGTTTTGTATCACCACTCCTGGAGAAGATAGAGTTTGAAAAAATACGAGGAAAACCTTTTCATTTTATTGATTCTTCAAAATTTTGTTCAGTGAGAGTAATCAGGATATATGGGGAACTTCATCGTATCTGCCTGAAATCGAGTAGTAGTGGCATGATCAAATGTGATGAAAGCTTGTTGGACTCAGTCCTCTGTCAGCATCCTGGTTCCCAAGTGTTAAGGGGTGAGGTACTGACTGGTCCACATTCAGGTGTATTGGCACTGGAGCAAGCTTTAGTCTTGTTAGAGAAGGGAGAAGTTTGTGCAGGTGGGTCAGTAGTGTTGATTAATGCTCCTCTTCTCTCTAGGCTCCAGTATGGCTTGCTCTTCGTCTTAGCATCTGCATTCAAACAAGTGAAAATTTACACTAGCCCAGAAGTTGGGAAACAGTTGCCAGTACTTGTGCTGGAGGGCTTACAGTCATTAAGCCTAGGGGAGGCTGTAGTACATGCACTTCACCATGCTGGCTGGAGCCCTGATGGAGGGTCAGGAGGAGTGCAGGGCTTCCTACAAATAGTTACTTTACAAAGTCTCATGCAGTATGAGCCACTCCAAGCTATCTTTCATTATAACATTCATCATAGCATTCATCATGCCTTGGCTTTTTATAAGGTTGCAATGATGCATCTAAACCAGTGATTTTTGCTTTGAAAAACATCCAGAGTAAAAAGATACCAAATAATTGAGTTCTAGTATGTATATCTGGTATTTAGTTTCATGTGACATTAGTTTGCATAGTGCTTTTGTTTCTCTGGATATTTCTGGAGTTAAGTCACACTGAAAATAACTTGGGTTAAAAGCCACATTGGAAATCACATTGTGGTATACTGTGTAAGAGTTAACAGACAAGATTAAAGTAGTCCCAAATAACAGTGGTTATTTTTCTGAGAATGGTGCGTTACATGAAATTGTGTTATGCAGGCTAAAGAACATATGGGAAAAATAGTTATGTTCCTGACATTTGGGATAAAAAAGTTAAGTTTTAAAATTCTCGTAATTCTAAACAAATAAAAATGTTTTTCTAACTTTCTAGGTGGCTGTAATGAGGTGTATATACTATAATTAAAATATAGTACAGTACTTGTAGCTAAAAGGATATGTAAAAATTTCTTTTCCTTAAATTCTGGTTGCTGCTGGAGACTGATGATTTTTTAAAACACGTGAGGAAGGTTGGCTGAGGTGGATAGCTCCAGCTATGTAGAGAAGTTCCCAGCAGCAGCATTGTCAACAGATGCACTTTTCTCACTAAATTTAACATTAGGCACCCAACTGTGCACCTTAAACTGGCTCTATCAGCTGGAATTAAAACAAACACTTTTGTTCAGGCTTTCTTTTCTGCTTATACACTTCCATAATACAATAACGACTTTTTACCCTGATCATAAGGGTATTCAGGTGTTGCAAGCTGCTCCATGTACCATCCTCAGCTCAGCTTGTCTTTTATGTTTACATACCTATTCTCCCTATTTAGTTTGCTCAATTGTCTACCTAAGTTTTTCATCCTTAGCATTATATTGTTATAGGGAAGCACCCAGGAATGGGAGGTAATTATCATTACCTTCATGGGTAGTACTAAACCCATAGGGAGCAGACAGCTCTTCCAAAATAGAAGGTAATCAGGTTTGATTGGAACAAGAGAAAGGTAGTTCAAGTATCTCGGATCGAGAGCTGTTAAGCCTCAAGAAACCCCTTTTTTCATTGAAAAGTTTAGCATCACTCTTGTATTTAACCTATACTATAAGGTACAGCTGCCTTTTATATATTCAGGGGGCATTTTTTGCTCTAGTTTCTTTTCTTATTATCTCAGTTTTCTTGAATGCTTTTCAGTGTCTTGACTTTATAAATTTATATTTTGTTAATATTACATATTATATTAACTGTTTATAATTTTTTACACTATCTTTTATTTGGGCAGCCTTGGTCCTGGTGAGGGTTCTGAACCCAAGGATTTTAAGCTACTTTCCCTTTCTTTAGATCAAACTTGATACCTCCTCTACCTCAGGCACTGTCTGATACTCACAGGTTTAGTGTTAACATGTGAATGGTTACAGGGTATTTACAAATGTTAATATATTAACACTAATACTAAAGTGTATTGTAGTCATACCATGAATTTCTATTTGCAGTTGGGTACCATATTTTATCCTTTAATGAACAACAGCATTTATGTAAGCACAGTAATCACTTTTTTTTTTTTTTTTTTTTTTAATTTACAATACATATTTTTCATGATTAGTGTGTGTAAGGTGGCTTTTATCGCGAAAATGAACTATGCAAGAGATATTTCATACAGTCTACAATCTGTTTTTATGTAAATCAATGATAGAATATACTTACAAGTATGTAAGACACAATATGTGGTTTATATCATTTTCTTGAGATGATATTTTGTCCACCAAGGACTTATCAATTCTCATAGACCAGTAAACAGAGCATATACATACCTGTAAAGTGAAAAGGCTTGAGGTGAAGATAGACTTGGGTGGGTGATGTCACCTGTTGTAATGTGACAGAGCCAATGGGAGTTACTGAATGCTTAAATATTAGGTTGTACAATACACAAATAACCCACACATAGACGAGAGGAGCTTAGGACGATGTTTCGGTCCAATTTGGACCATTTACAAAGTCACACTGGGTTATTTATGTATCGTTCCAGTCATGGTATTGTGCCTTTTTTTTTATTAGGTTGTGCAAGTAGTGCCTCCTTGCATATACCAGTAGTACATTTATCAAAAACTAGGGACACAGTTTAGCTACCTTCATAAATTTACATTACGCACAGTTTCGAGGGTTAAATTAATATCAACACTGAAAGTTTCATGCATTTATTTTATAAATTAACATCATGAAGATAATACGTATATTAATTTTTTTTCTACTTCTGTACCAGGTCAATGACAGGAAAAAGTACCAATAGTTAATGATATGAATATATACAGGTTTATATTTATGTATAAAATAAAAATTTTGCAACTAAATTTAATATTTTTGAATAGAAAAACATAACTGTGCTATCTAAATTCTCCTTTAAGAGACCACATTCCTTTTCCAGTCACTTCCCTGTGGAAATCACAAATTTGTGTTAAGAGAGCCTTGAAGAATGAGGTCTGTTCAGGAGGTAAACGATCTTGAAATCTGCCAACAAGTTCTTGAGTTGAGGCTTTACCATCAACTTCAGCTTGGAATGCTACAAAATTACGTATGTCGGTTAAAAGGTCAATGTTGTTTTGTATCTCTGGTTCCATGCTTTCAGTAGTGACTGTAGCTGTTGAAGGGTAATCAGGATCATAATCACTGTCTTCATCACAGTCCATAGAAATGCCTTTATTTCTCTCATGCATACGAGACAGCAGCTGTGAAGAATTTAGCAAGCCACTTGATCCCTCGGTATTATATTTACGTTTACCAAAGGAAGTGGTGAGTTCTTTACTACTGTGTGCATCCGATGGACCATCATCATCATCATCTATACCTCCGTTGAACATTCGCTTTTTCTTATTCCTTTTACTGTCTTGCATTTCTTCCGTATCTTTGTCTGTAGTATTAGAAAATATTCTACTTTTCTTAATCCCAAATTTAGGTTTACTCTTAAGTGATTTTGAAGTGCCATCAGAAAGTCGAGGTTTGAAACATTGTGCCCGAGAAGCCCTCACAGCCTTCACTGCTTCCTTGGCAACTCGCTCTGCCTCCCCCTCTATAAGTAAGTAGTCAGGGTCACTGTTGCTTAAGATGGCATCATGACTTAGTGCTGTGTGAACTCCTGATTTCCGGAATAATTTTTCTAAAACATATTGATCCTGGGACATTGCACTTAGCTTTTCTGCCTCCTCTTCTTCCTCAGTTTTATGGTAGGTCCTTTTCTTTACCAGGTATTCTACACGTTCTCCTTCAAACTTTCTTCCTTTCTTTTTCAATTTTTCTTTTTCTCTATGTTTGTCTTTCTTTTTGTGCTTATTTCTATGCTTCTCAGGCACTTCTGAAAAGCTGCCACTGCTTTTAATGCCATTCTCAATTATTTTGTGTATTTTATTATTTTCTGAAGATGTATTTTTGGTCATGTCCATATCAAATTTCATAGATGTATTATTCAAGTCTTCATTATCCTTAACCTCACTAACCTGAGATAGATTTTCTATTATTGGTACTAATTCTTCAGTTATGGGCTCCTGCATATCTTGCATAACTATCTCTCTTGAGTCTTCCTTATTCACTTCTGTAACAGTCTCTCTTGTTTCATCAACACTATACCCATTTGTATCTTTCAGTAAACTTCCATTAATATCTTCAGCTTTTGCATTTTCCTCTACTTCTTTTTCACTTTTCTCTTTGGGTGAACATTTATCCCTGATTTTTTTACTTAGACTTCTAGCAAGTTCTCTCATTTGTTCTCTCTTATTAATGTTTCTAGAAGCACTTTCCTGCTCTTTGTTCTTTCCACTTGATCTTTCATCCAATTTAATTTTCTTGCTTTGATTCTCTACCTGAGTTTTGCCATGAGGTTTTCTTGAGAGTTCTCTCCCAGTTATGGCTTCCCCTTTATGTTGTCCTGCCAGTTTACTGCTACTACTGCTTCTAGACAACTGGGTTTTTGCATCACCTTTAGTCTTCTCCTTGGGTTCCACTTTGATTTCCGAGCCAGTGCCAGCAAATATGGCAGAAGATTCTGTTTTCTCCTTATCACCCTCGTTTAAAGAGAAAAGTTCGTAAAGATCATTTGTCTTGAAAAAGCGCTGCTGCTTTGGGTCCTTGAGAACACGGTTTGTCAGAAACTGTTTAAAAATTTGCCGGTGATAAATTTTCTCTTCAATTGTACCAGCTGTCAGTAATCTGCAAATGGGATATACATTACTGTAAATAAATGTAGCAATTTAAATTAAGTAATTTTTCAAAGATAATCAATAACAGTATTTTCTTGCAACAAACTTGCAATCTGGAAAAAAGTTACTTGTAATAGTCTGTATTTTCTATATTTTAAACCATTCTACATTTGTATGCCAAAATTTACAGTATACCTGGAAACACTAGACTCCATCTTATATTTTAATTTAGTGTAACTAGGCAAATTTGAAACAAAATCCATACATGTTTTATACTCTGGCAGGATTATTTTTTTTTTTTTTTTTTAAACACACTGGCCGATTCCCACCAAGGCAGGGTGGCCCGAAAAAGAAAAACTTTCACCATCATTCACTCCATCACTGTCTTGCCAGAAGGGTGCTTTACACTACAGTTTTTAAACTGCAACATTAACACCCCTCCTTCAGAGTGCAGGCACTGTACTTCCCATCTCCAGGACTCAAGTCCGGCCTGCTGGTTTCCCTGAACCCCTTCATAAACGTTACTTTGCTCACACTCCAACAGCACGTCAAGTATTAAAAACCATTTATCTCCATGGTTTTTAATACTTTTGGCAGGATTGCTGTTTTCTTTTCTGCCGCATGAATATTACAGGTGACAGACAAATTTCACAAGCTTCATAAATAACAAAAAAGGCACAATACCGTGACTGGAACAATACACAAATAACCCGCACATAAAAGAGAGAAGCTTACAACGACGTTTCGGTCCGACTTGGACCATTGACAAAGTCACACTAACCAGACTGGCTCGTCATCCTTATTTCCCACTTCTACCACTACCACTACTACTACCTCTTCTTCTTCTACTACTACTACAACTACTGATGAAATTAAGATACATGTGCGGCGTCTGGTTGTCTTTGTTGTGGACGTTTCGCCATCCAGTGGCTGGCTGGATGGCAAAACGTCTATGATGGGGATGCCCGGGTGTTGTGCATGTGTCTTAATTTCATCTTGTCGGTATTATATACAACTCTTGTACTACTACTACTACTACCTCCACCTCTTCCTGCCTATATATAGCCGTCCTGCTCCACCTCTGGTTAGTGTGACTTTGTCAATGGTCCAAGTCGGACCGAAACGTCGTCGTAAGCTTCTCTCTTTTATGTGCAGGTTATTTGTGTATTTCACAAGCTTCAATTTACATTCAGTGGAGAAGCATAGCTGTTCATTTTTGGTTACAGTATATAGAATGTCCTTCCAATTCTCTAACAAATGCCATGTGATCAAAATATTTAGTGTAAACCCGCTCATAATGAGCGGGTTGCATTCTGAAAATCAGTGTATAATGTAAAATTGCACTATGTGAAGTGAATAAAAAAATTTGTTTTTGCAGTAGCTGTATCATCTTTGCACCTTAGTCCGGATACATATTGTACACCTACTACATTTTTTACTCATCAATCAACAATTGTAGAAATACATCTAGAGTAGATACATCATCAAAAAAGGCATGGGAATGTGTAAGTAGTGTACTTACGATACTGTATGATATTTTTTGAAGGAAGTTTTAAGTTCTAGTGGCTTGAGCATCCAACAAGATTGGGTAAACACGTTAGATTGGAGTGAGTGGAAATGAGCGATTATTATGACTACATGAGTGTGAGCAAAGTAATATGAAGAGATTTAGGAAAACCAGTTCACTGGACTTGAGGTGAACATACAGTGCCTGCAATCTAAAGGAGGGTAGGGATGTTGCAGTTTGGAAGGTCATCCGATCTGTGGTATAAGCACATTTCTGGCAAGAAAATAATCAAGTGAATGAAGGTAAATGCATTCCCTGCTTTTTGGGGTCATAATATAATGATTTTTGCACTTATCAGATTTTTTATTGCATTTTTTTAAATATGTTGCACCCAAATTGTGAAACATGGTCGCACTGTAAGAGGATTTGCTGTATGCTGTAAAATTATAAACTTGTACAGGCAGGCACTGTTCAACATCACGAGTGGGGTTCTAGAAAATGTTCTTTTCAAGAAAGCAATGATGAATGAGGTCCATTTATACTTAATGCTGGTGAAGGGCTTTTGATCTGAAGGATTAGGGCTGCCTTCTCCTTCCTCAGATCAAATAAGCATCTTGTGTAACATTTGAGTATCTACTATGTGCTTGTATTTTAGAAGTGTAATTTGTAAGTTTAATTAAACTGTGAGCTATGAATCTCTACAGTGCCCTCAACCCTTGTGGGTTTTAGCACTTAGTTATGATGATAATAATATAATAATACAGTGCCCTCACCGATAGATGGTAACATGCCGTAACTGTCCAATCCTCCAAGCACGCTCCCTAGCTTGAGAGTCTGTTGATGGGTTCCAGTCTGGGTCAAATATAACAACACGATCTGCACCCGTCAGATTAATTCCAAGGCCACCCACACGTGTTGTCAAGAGAAATACGAAGAGTGATGGGTCATTGTTGAACTTTTCAATCAAAGGTTGACGAGAGGAAACAGTTGTAGTTCTGAAAATAACCAAGTTTATTACAGTACATAATAATGCAATTCTATGAAGAAAGTCAGTAACTGTATATAAAATAATTAATATTAAGACCAGCAGTTCCAATTAACCTATATATAGTAAAGCAATAATTTCCTGCTTAACAACATTTTGATATACGTACTAGAGATTTCATATTCAACAAGAAGCTACAGTTACATAATGAAAAAGAAAGCAGTTACAAATGAATATTATAGCATTAATCCTTCACAAAATAGTGCTCTATGACCCTTTTATGTTTAGCACTTCACTTGATTACATAAAAGTGATAAACTACAGGAATGGGATCGAATGTGTATAAACTCCCATCACTTGAAGCTAATTAACTGAATGATTAAACTAAATATGTACAGTAATGTACTTGAGAACAAAAGCAATGTACAGTACTAAGTCAAGTTAGGAGCCTTTACCAGCCTGTAAAGCTTGGTGCAAGAAGCGTGTTCTTATTCTTATACTATGGTCATGACAGAAGACTTAGGGATGTCCCAAGTGTTTACCATACTTGGAAATCATTATATACTCCTAGTTTCTTCTTGCCTGAAAGTTAAGCCTTCCCATGGAGTTGTGGCTAACCACTAGGCAACATCTTTATTGGTGGGTGGATAAAAAGGCAAGAGAGATTCGGTAATGGGGATGGCCAAACTAATTCAATCTGCTGGACAGGTCTGGCCAGGGTCATGTGAGCATGAAATACATATAGAGCATAAAAATCTTACCCATCCATCTTCAAGTAAGAATACTGTTCATCAAGAAGGAATTTTTCGAGGATGCACATCATCTGTCGAGACTGTGTAAAGAGTAGGACACGATGACCTTGACGTTGCCACAAATGCAGGATAGAGTGCAACACATGCATCTTGCCAGAGCGGGACCACCAGCCATACTTCAACTCTGGCTGTTGAATCATTATACAAGTTCATTTCTTTTAAGGTTTATATACAGCATTCCATGCTTTTACATGATGAATGTAACACATTTCAAAGTTGTATTTACCTGAAGACCAGAATTCCAATCATCATCATAAGTGCGTGGTCCTCCAGTATAAAGGTCTGGATGGTTGCAAATTTTACGAAGGTTAATCAGACCAACGAAAACCTGAAATAATAAGCAACTTTCATTCATGCATATCTGCCCAGATATTCAATTACAATTCATCAGAAGCAGTATATAAATTCATCATATTTAACTGTCAAGACAGTCCAATGTATTCCTTTAGTGAATTAGTCTTGTTACTATTTTTTTTTCATTACAGCCAATAGTTTTGAATATAATAACTGTAACTTCTTATCCTTTGTCATATCTAATTATCTAATTTTTATTTCACTTAGCTTCTAATGAAACTTAAAATCTCAAACACTTCTACCTATATCTGGAACAAATTCCATATACAGTGGTCCCTCATTTTTCGTAATTAATCCGTTCCTGGAGCCGTTACTATAAACGAAATTTACGATTTACGAATCAATATTCCCCATAAGAAATAATGTAAATACAATTAATCCGTTCCTGACGCCCAGAAGTATTAAAACAAAAAAAAAAATATGAAATATACATGTAGTACATAAACAATACAATGGGAAATGATGAATGAAACATTAACAGCATAACACTTACCTTTATTGGAGATTCTTCTTAGTGTATGGGAGACTGGAGGAGGAGAGAGAGTGGATTGTTTATAGTTTGGAAGGGGAATCCCCTTCCATCAACACCTCAGGTACCATTTGCTTTTCTGGGGTTGCTTCTCTTCTGTTTCTTAATGCCACTAGGACCACCTTGAGAGTCACTGGAGTCCTGTCTCACAAAATAACTGTGGAGAGAGCTCTGTTTCTGGCGTCTCTTTAACACTTCCCTAAAATGGCCCAAGACTTTGTCACTGTACATGTTGCCAACCTGGCTTACAACAACCTTGTTAGGGTGATGTTTCTCCATAAAGCTTTCCATCTTACCCCACATAGTAAAAATCTCTTTAATTTCTGAAGAAGGCACCTTCTTCCATCTCTCTTCCTCCTCCTCTGCAGCAAGATTCTGAGCTGCGATGTGTTGCTCTTCCTGCTGAAACTCTTGCAGCTCCTCAGTGGTGAGTTCTTCATTGTGGTCTTCCACCAATTCTTCCACATCCTCCAAACTCACATCCAACTCCATGGAACTCCCCAGTGCCACAATTGATTTTACAACAGACATAGGCTCATTAGGGTCAGTCCCAAATCCTTCAAAATCCCTCTTGTCGACACAATCTGTCCACAATTTTCTCCAGGCAGAGTTCAAAGTCCTGGTAGTCACTCCCCCCCAAGCCATACCTATAAGGGTTATGCAATGGAGGATGCTTAAGTGTTCTCTCCAAAATTCCCTTAGGGTCAAGTGAGTGTCTGTGGTCACAGTCAAGCACCTGTGAAACACTGCTTTTGTGTAGAGTTTTTTAAAGTTTGCAATAACCTGCTGGTCCATGGGTTGGAGGAGAGGAGTGGTATTCGGGGGCAAGAGCTTTACTGTGATGAACCCAAACTCCTCGAAAATTAGGTCATCCAAGTTTGGAGGATGAGCAGGTGCATTGTCCATTACTAGCAGGCGCTTGAGATCCAATTTCTTTTCCAGGAGATACTCCTTCACACTAGGGCCAAACACTTCATTGAACCACTCAATGAAAATTTCCCTCATGACCCATGCCTTACTATTAGATTTCCAAAACACACACAATTTACTCTTCATAACATTGTTTTTCTTGAACACTCTGGGATTTTCAGAATGATACACTAGTAATGGCTTCACTTTGAAATCCCCACTAGCATTAGCACAGAACATTAGCATCAGCCTGTCTTTCATAGGCTTGTGTCCTGGCATTGCCTTTTCCTCTTGTGTAATGAAGGTCCTCTTTGGCATTTTCTTCCAAAAGAGGCCTGTTTTGTCACAATTGAACACTTGTTCAGGTTTCAGTCCTTCAGCCTCTATGTACTCCTGGAATTCATGCACATATTTTTCAGCTGCCTTGTGGTCCGAACTGGCAGCCTCACCATGCCTTACCACACTGTGTATACCAGTACGGTTCTTAAATCTCTCAAACCAGCCTTTGCTGGCCTTAAATTCACTCACATCACCACTTTTTGCAGGCAATTTCTTTACCAAATCTTCATGCAACTGCCTAGCCTTTTCACAAATAATCGAAGTCATAAGAGTATCTCCTGCTAATTGTTTCTCATTTTTCCACACCAGTAATAACTTCTCAACCTCTTCCAGTACTGGTGATCTCATTTTTGTCAGCATAGTTACTCCCTTTGCAACAACAGCATCCTTTATTTCCTTTTTCTTGGCCACTATGGAACATAAGGTTGTGTAGGGTTTCTTATACATCCTGGACAGTTCGGCCACACTTGTACCACTTTCATATTGTTCAATGATGGTTTTCTTAAATTCAATCGTATTTCTCACCTTCTTTACCACAGGCTTGGCACTAGGAGCTTTCTTTGGAGCCATGGTAGCTTCTTTAGTACTTGCAAGCACTAAAATGAATGGAATATTATGAAATATTTCGCTGGAGCACGTGAGGGGACCTTCGCTCACTGGTAAACAATGCCAGACTGGCTGCCGCCCCGGCTCACGCCTTGGGTATGCGTCCCGGACGAACTACGACTCGCGAGTCAACCTATGAAAAGCGAGTCCATGTTTATACGAAAATACCCCTATGATTGGCGAAATTTACGATTGCCGGGAACTACGAAAAGCGGGGGACCACTGTACTACTATAATCTCATTTAGTACTTGCATCTTAATTTCAGGTATTATGCACATATCAGTTATATCTTCATGCCTCACCTTCATTCGGCCACCCAATATGCGCTTTACTTGGTCTCCTTCGATGTACTCTCTGTATACTTTCCTCTGCTCCTCACTCAGTCCACAGAAGAGCACCTGTTTTGGATCACATATTGGTAACCACTTTCTGTACATTTGCTTCATCTACTGTATTACATAAACAAAACTGATCTGGGAGTGTTTATGAAAAACCAGCATAGTAATATACCTTTGATATACCTTTATACCTTTGATATACCTTTATACCTTTGAAGAATTTCAAGAGTATATCTACTCTCTGAGCCCGGCCATGGGCCAGGTTCGTCTGGTGCTCGCCTGGTCAACCAGGCTGTTGCTGCTGGAGGCCCGCTGCCCCACATAGAGTAAAGAGTAAAACAGAAGTAAAGTATTGTACAGTACTATTAAAACAATTTTCCATTAAAAACACTTAACACATCAGTTACTATCCACCAAAGAAATGCAACTTAAATAAAGGAAAATACATTCATGACCATTTATTCTCAGAGCATAACCCTAACCTGCAAAATTTCAATAATTTTCAAAACATAAAACATCCTCACCATCTTTTGGAGCACTACTTTCCACCTACAGAACTCTAGCCTTCTCAAATAGGTAATTTCACTTTTCAAAGGAGATTTTGGCCAAATCATCATCATACCAGAGCAACTTTTTCCCAAATTGTCAAATAATACCTTTATATTAATTTTTTTTCGACAGGAAGAAAATCTTTACCTGTTCATTTTTATCTGGTAAGCTGAGATGGTTTCTGACATCATTTTTCATTCTACGAAGCAAATAGGGGTTGATGGTATCACGCAGAACAGAGGCACACTTGAATGCTGTCTGCACCTAGGATAACAATAAACACATTAAATTAATATGTCACAAAAATAGCTTACTTTATGTTTACTTAATTTAATGATCATTAATCATGTCATCAGTGGGTAAAAATATTTATGTCCCATCCCCAATAATATACAAAACTGCTTTAATAAAATGTAAATCAGCATATTTTTTACATAAAAAAATTGAAAGGCCATTTTAAACAAGAAATAAAATTTTATTCTTCCTGTGTAAGAGACAAGCCATCCAGAGAGCTGGCAATTCCCAAGCACCAGTAAATTCAGCTTTATTGGAACAAGATCTATGAAGTTACCATGGTTGCAGAACCTCTAGTGGAATACTTAGCAGTACTGTGACTCGCAAGATCGTAATGACACAACTGCAAACAAACCACGGTACGGGCGGGAATTGAACTTGCAAACTCACTAGCCATGAATTCAATTCCTGCCCATACTGCGGTTTGTTTAATAGTATCCTCTTGCTCTAATGAAGTCTACCAAATTAGGCTGACAGATTTCAACAACACCATGTATGAAATTCATACTGTGTAATGGAATATTACAGGAAAATTATCCCAATATATATACTTATTAACATATTAAATAGGGCAGCAGTATACTACTAATGTATTTAATTTTACTAAATAAAAAACTCACCCAGTTTTTGTTGTCCTTTTTCACTCTCTCCCTCTCCCTTTGACACAGTAATATACACATCTTTCTCTTCTTTTATCTGCTGACAAGGAATTAGATCACAAGTGTAACATTTGAGTGCACAAGAAGAGAAGATTCCTCAGTATTCTCTCTCTTCATCACATTTACATTGTGCAAATAAGTAAAAATCAATCAGTGATGCCTGACTAATCTAGGGTTTAGGGGACTTCTTAAATTTATTGTAATTTTATTTAATTTATATGAACAGAGGAATAAACACTGACCAGCAATGCCTGACAAATTTGAGTTTGGGGGAATTATTTCCAGATCTTTTATTCAATTTCAAATAAAATATTTGAAAATGTCCAGTTTTAAGGAATTTTCAGATTTGAATTTGTATCTGCTATAATAAAATATTATTTTTTAATTTAAAATTAATAAACAAGTCCATGTAGTCTTTTTTTTTGTACAATAAAAAATGCAAATTAAATCCTCAAGGAAATTTATTTACAACAAACATGTGTAAGGCATCTTATTTCATTATAATTTCTTGAACACAGAGAGGAGGAATGCATTTATGTACTTCACAAATATTAAAATTAACCATCCCTCAGAGTAATCAGCTTGTTTATGAGATGAATTTTCTAAGTCTGCAGTGTTACTACAGGAGTTTTACATCTGTTATTTAGCCAAGCTAATGATTTTCAAGGAGATTTAGAATAATGTTAATATGTAATATGTCAGCGTACTTCTGGAAAGACGGCAATAAAATGAATGATGGTTAATGTGTTTTCTTCTTTGGGTCACTGCCTTAATGGGAGATGGATGTATGAAGTGTTTAGACCTAAAAGAGCATTCTGCATTTTAGAGAACAAAAAGTTAAATACATCCAGACACACTGATACTCACAAGTTAAAACTATAATACAGGAATGTAAACCATTCTACAAACCTTATGAGTATAGGTGAATAAACCAACATCCCATAACTTGTACTATAGCCATATAAACCAGGTAGACTACTGAGGAAATATGTTTTGGACCTTGTATCAAGATACCTCAATTCCTTCATACTTATATCAGTCTTCATTCTTAAACCTTTAATTGCATCAGAGAAGTATAGAATGTGACTTAGAGAAGGCAAAGAAGACAATGAATATCCTGTGTTTTAGAAAAGCACAGTATTCAACTGTTATAGTGATGCCTAAATATTTTCATTTGAAAAGTCTGGCATGGCTGCAAGCTGAGATGAAAAAATTGGTGCACACTTAATTAAAAAACAGGTTATGATAAAATTTTATATTCTTCACGAATCTCAAGCTTTAGCATCATAGATCCGAGGAAGGGACTACACATGCAAGATGGCAGAGCACAATAAACACATAACTTACCCTGTAAATACAAATCTGTAAAACTCAAGATCTTGTAACATCTGATAATAACCATTTACAACAAAGCCCTAGTCATACAAGCAGTATAGCAGAGCTTAAAGTGAAGTATACCTCCAGTTTGGAAGCATTAGCATATCCTCCCTGGGTGATGGGTACAGCAAACTGCTCCATGAATATTGGCAATGTTCCCAGCTTACCAGGAAATGCAAAGTCAAAGAGTGACCACAGCTCCTTCAAACTGTTTTGAATTGGTGAGCCTGTGGAATGACAAGTGTCACTAGCATAATATTCACAAACAACCACTATTCAGCAGTATACCACATAATAAATTTAATAAAATTAAGGAGCATATTCAATATTGCCATGAGGGTTATTGTAAACTAAGGTACAAAACTAGGTATCTTTCACAGTGAATTTTATTAAAACTCTGGTTAGCTAATTTTATGTTTGGTGTAGGTATCTTCAGAAAGTTGCTACGTATCATATGAACACATACTAACATCATCAAATGAATACCTGAAAGGATCAGCCTGTGAGGAGTCTGAAATCTTTTCAGAGCAACAGTAATTTGTGCTTCTGGGTTACGAATCTTGTGTCCTTCATCAAGAACGATGTAGTGCCACTCATACTGTAACAATGTCTCTAACTGATCACGAACACCAGTATATGATGTTATAAGGATGCCCCCATACCTAAAACAATGAAAAAATGATTCCTTTTTCAAGCATTAAAATCTAATTTTTTTTACTATTACATGTATATTAATTATAGGTAGTAGATTGGCAGACAGCAACCGCCCAGGGAGGTACTACCGTCCTGCCAAGTGAGTGTAAAACGAAAGCCTGTAATTGTTTTACATGATGGTAGGATTGCTGGTATCCATTTTTCTGTCTCATAAATATGCAAGGTTTCAAGTACGTCTTGCTACTACTACTTACACTTAGGTCACACTACACATACATGTACATACAAGCATATATATACACACCCCTCTGGGTTTTCCTCTATTTTCTTTCTAGTTCTCATTCTTGTTTATTTCCTCTTATCTCCATGGGGAAGTGGAATAGAATTCTTCCTCCGTAAGCCATGCGTGTTGTAAGAGGCGACTAAAATGCCGGGAGCAAGGGGCTAGTAACCTCTTCTCCTGTATATATTACTAAATGTAAAAGGAGAAACATCGTTTTTCCTTTTGGGCCACCCCGCCTTGGTGGGATACGGTCGGTGTGTTGAAAGAAAGAATGTATATTAATGGGAAGTGCTAAATCCTTAAGGGTCATACAGTGCCTGCAGAATGGGAGGTCATCACATTTAATCCATGGAAGCTTTTATAGACCATATTATGCATCATTAATATCAAACTGTGACTAACAAAAGATTATATTTTCTACCAGCAACCACACTGCTGAACTAGTTTGACCCATTACTTGACAATGTGGTGGCACTGTTTAATATTGATAGTAACTGCCTAATGAACAGTCAGTTAACCAACGACTAAATAAACCATACCACGGGTGGGGTTAGAACCCGCGATCAGAGTCATAAAACTCCAGACCGACGCATTAGCCACTGGGCCAGGTAGCTACAATAAGATTCATTCAAGTAGGTATATATATACACCATAGGAAGGTTAGCACAGCCACCACTGTGACCTCAAGTGCAAGTTTTTACTGACGAATCTCCCGCTAGCATGGCCGTGATGAACTCTAGCTCAAGTCCCCTCATAGCCATCAACATGCAATAGTGTCATTACGATTTTGTGAGTCATAATGACTGAATGGTTAACATAGCCCCATTTTCCAGGTGATGTATGACCCTATATGGATTTAGTGCCCCTGTAAAATCTAATAATAATAATAATAATGCCAATAGGGAGCCACTGAATTGCTCTGTCATGCCAGATGACAATGCTATGGCCACTGAATATGCATTCATCGTTGTTATATATGTTTAACCAAAATTTTAGGAGCTGGATGGCTTTTCCATTAAGGATTTGTTGGGTTTTTCTCACAAAAAGTTGATAAACCTACTTAAAGTCTACAGAAAGTACTTCCTCCATGTGAATTAAATCTAAAGTCTTCACAAAAAGGTAATTGCTGTGATACAAACACATGTAAAAATCTTGCATTAAGCATCAATTTATGTTTAAATTCTATTTGATACAAACAATATGGATAGTTGTATAAGTCTTTGTATTTTTTTTACTAATTTGAATCATAAAATATTGAATGTATGTACATTTGCATTTTCTTGCTAAGTCAACTTTTAGCTACAGTTCACCAAGGGTAAATATATATATGGAAGCTACTGTTTCGCCAAGACCCTAGAGTCAATTCTCGAATATCTTTCTTATAAGGCCACCATTAGCCATTCTCCTTACATGTCAAAATACTATACTGGACTTAACCTCCAGAAGAAAAAAAAAGTATCAAAATACAGTCAACATATGAAACACAGACTAATTTTTCTGATACAGTGGCAAAGCAATATGTAATGGCAATTACTATATGTATATACTTCCTTAAAACCATATAAAAATTAATTAACAAACAAAAAATAAATACTGTAAACTGACCTATTAATATTATTAATAAGAGCAGGTCTTGTCCCAGTGAAAGTTCCAGATTCATGCAGTATAGCAACTCTGAATGGTGGCCACCACTTATGGAACTCTTTCACCCATTGGTGGAGGACTGTAGCTGGGCATACTATCAACACCGGACCCAAACCTTTCCATGGCTGTTGACGGCTGGTTAACCGGGAATATGATAAACCCACAAAAAAAGAAATTATCTGGATAGTTTTTCCAAGCCCCATTTCATCACCTAGAATCCCTCCACAGTTCTGCAGATGAAGTTCCCAAAGCCATCTTACACAAGTTCGCTGGTATTTGTAGAGTTTATTCCAGATAACCAGTGGAATTTTGTAGCCCTTGTCAAATTCTTCATAGCCTTCTTCCTCCTCCTCCTCAGAATCTAAGTCTTCTCCTTGTATGATTTTTTCTTGTTTCCTTTTCAGTCTCTCTTCTTTCCAATTTTCTATTCTTCTTACATAATCATCTAAATTTCCATCGTCTCTTGATTTACAGAATTTTCGTCCTTTGCTTTTTGGAATGTCATCCTCTTGCCAATCATCTTCAGATTTTAGTTTTTTCTTTCTACGTCTTCTTGGTCCTTTATCCAGTTTCTCCATACAATCCTCTCTCTTTTCAATATTAGCATTTTCAAGGTTAGAATCATCATGGAAGTCACTCTCTTCAAAATAGTCTGGGTCAGAGGGAACATACTCAGATCCACTTCCATCAAGGTCTTCTGACCCACTTCCTTCAAAACTGATCCTTTCAGACAATATTTTACGAGGAGTTCTCTTACACTGGTCTGCTTCCAAATGACTAGTTATGCTCCCTAACACTTTCTCTATTTTTTTCTTCTTTGGATGTAAGACATGCATTTTAATTGGATCTTTTCTAGTTGGCTTTTTTGTTTGTTTTTCAGATTTTTGAGTTTTGTTGACCTTTGCTTCAAATCCTGCCTTAGCACTTTTTTTTACTGATGAGAGTGAAGTGCTGTCATCAGCACTGTCATGTGCTTCCCCACAGTCAAAGTTTCCAATATATTCTTTGATTTTACCTTTCCTTTTCTTTGGTACACCATATAATGAGTGTCCTGAAGATTTTTTGGGCTTAGTACCTTTGTTGGCTTCATTGTGTTGCTTCTGTCTATCAAACTGATCTTGTAGGTATTTCTCGAAGTCACTTAAACCTCCTTGTATCTTGTCTGATGATCTGAAGAGAAAGAAAAGGTGGTTTTAACCTTCACAATTACCAGAAAATGGACTGGAAGAATGTATAAGAAGACTAAAATCTGGAATCCTAATTCTGCTCATTACTACAAATTTTGGCATTTATGTATATTTGCACAATACATAAGGACAATCATTAACTAATTCAACTCTTTTGTATATAGAAAAATTATATATGTGAAGTGCAATACAGTATTTAAATAAAAGCTAGTCTAAATCAGTTTACCTATCAACAATTTTTTTTTTAACACGCCGGCCATATCCCGCTGAAGCAGGGTGACCAAAAAAGAAACACTTTCACCATCATTCACACATAATAACTGTGTTTGCAGAGGCACCCAGATACGACAGTTCAGATGCCACTCCAAACAGCCAATATCCCAAACCCCTCCTTTAAAGTGCAGGCACTGTACTTCCCACCTCCAGGACTCAAGTCCAGCTAACCGGTTTCCCTGAGTCTCCTCACAAAATATTACCATGCTCACTCTCCAAACAGCTCGTCAAGTCCCAAAAACTATTCATCTCCATTCACTCCTATCAAACAACTATTTATTATCTTATAGTGAGAGAAGGGTACAATTTTTACTGAAAAGAAGATAAATTTTTTTTTTTTTTTCAACAAGTCGGCCGTCTCCCACGAGGCAGGGTGACCCAAAAAAGAAAGAAAATCCCCAAAAAGAAAATACTTTCTTCATCATTCAATACTTTCACCACACTCACACATTATCACTGTTTTTGCAGAGGTGCTCAGAATACAACAGTTTAGAAGCATATACGTATAAAGATACACAACATATCCCTCCAAACTGCCAATATCCCAAACCCCTCCTTTAAAGTGCAGGCATTGTACTTCCCATTTCCAGGACTCAAGTCCGACTATATGAAAATAACCGGTTTCCCTGAATCCCTTCACTAAATATTACCCTGCTCACACTCCATATATTATGTACACAAATAACCTGCACATAGAAGAGAAGAGCTGATGAAGACGTTTCAGTCTGACTTGGACCATTTACAAAGTCACACTGTATTGTTCCAGTCATGGTATTGTGCCTTTTTTTTTGTTACTACATACCATCATAAAACAACTGAGAATTATTAACCTGCTACTGCAGTATATAAAGAAAAAATACATATTAGCAAATTTTTTAAATCTACAAACCTTATTGCTGTTTTAGCACTGCTTATGGACATGTTGAGAACTGTCCCAAATGGAGTCATTTCTCCAGCACTAATCATTTCTGCTTTGGTTGGCCCTTTTTTTGACTCAGCTTGCAGAGTTGCCCTTGCTTTGTTCTTCATTAGTATATGACTTGGTTGGACTGATACTGTTCTGCTTGTCTTAGAGGTCATCACTGTTCCAAATGGCGTCATCTGACCTTCACGAACAAGTCTCTCTCTTTCATTTCCAGTAAAGTTTGATAAACTACGAGTCCCTCCAATGTCTTCACAGTCATTATCTATAATTTCCCCATCTTCCAGAACATAATCATCAAGCTGAAAGCAAATCATCATGAGACTGCAAATAATAATTGTTATTAGATAGGCATGACACTGTCACAAAAAATATTTTTAATGAAAATGTGCAAAAACAAAATCATTTGATGGAAACTCTGGCTATTATCATGTATGTAATGTGAAATTATAAAAATTACTTATTATTTTTAAGGTACCTCTTCCTCATTCACTTCAGCTGATGCAAGTTTCTGGTGAAGGAATATTTCTCGTTGTCTGAGGGCTTTCAGTTGCTGAGCTTTATCATCCGCTTCCTTTTCAACAGTAATGATGTTCCGGGGATCTACAACACGTTGCCGCATACCTAAATGGTGCCAAATTAAAATTAACAAAAATACGTTTGAATGGATATACAGTATACTCATTTTTTTTTTTTTCAACACCTACCAACACTCATATAATAAAGTATCTTTTTCCAACTCCAAAACAGAAATAAAAGCTTCTTTTCACATTACTTTTTAGGGTTTTGTTGATGAATCCTTTTTATACGTATTTGTCTAGAAACCCCTAAAGCCCTGCCCAAACCCTACAGTCTGGCCTTTCCTTAAAAATCAATGAATATGCTATTGTAAAGCTACACTCAAAATAATTCAGAGATGAGTCCAACTTTTTTGAGTTACATTTTCAAATGAGATATACACTATACATCCAATATTTTGGGGAAAATGTGGGAAAAAGGTTGGGAAAATATTCTCAACAATCTTTTAACACAGTACAGATGAAGAAAACCATATTTAGAAAATTTCTTGTTTTTCCCCAATTTTTTCTTAGTTCATTTACTCTCACTTCCCTCTTATCCCAATGTCCCTTATTTCAACTTGGGAATTTTCATAATTATAAAAAAAAATTCCTCCTACCTAAAATACTTTTAAATTAAAAAATTTTAAGAAGGTAGTGAAAAAATATATGAAAATTTATTAAGGAACTGATCAAAAAACTGGACACAGCCTAACGCCCAAGATTTGGAATATTAGGTTTTAAAAACCCTTTCAAATGATTTAAAATTTTTTTAAAAAACATGACCAAACCGGGGCTGCAAATTTAATGTCAACAACACCATTCTTTTTTTTTATTTTTTTTTTTCACACTGGGGATTCCCACCAAGGCAGGGGGGGCCGAAAAAAAAAAATTCACTCATTCACTCCATCATGTCTTGCTGAAGGGTGCTTTACACTACGTTTTTAAACGAACATTAAAACCCCCCCCCCTTAGAGTGCAGGCCCGACTTCTCATTTCCAGGATCAAGTCCCCCCCTGCCGGTTTCCCTAACCCCCTTTATAAAGTTACTTTGCCACACTCCAAAAACACGTCAAGTTTAAAAAAACCATTTGTCTCCATTCACTCCTATCAAACACGCTCACGCATGCCTGCTGGAAGTCCAAGCCCCTCGCACCAAAACCTCCTTTACCCCCTCCCTCCACCTTTTCATAGGCCGACCCCTACCCCGCTTTCCTTCCACTACAGACTGATACACTCTTGAAGTCATTCTGTTTGCTCCATTCTTCTACATGTCCGAACCACCTCAACAACCCTTCCTCAGCCTCTGGACAACAGTTTTGGGTTTAATCCCGCACTCCTCCTAACTTCCAAACTACGAATTCTCTGCATTATATTCACACCCCCACATGCCTCGGGACATGACATCCCCACTGCCTCCAGCCTTCTCCTCACTGCAACATTCATCACCCATGCTTCACACCCATATTTAAAACGTTGGTAAATTTATACTCTCATACATTCCCCTCTTTGCCTCCAAGGACAAAATTCTTTGTCTCCACAGACTCCTAAGTGCACCACTCACCCTTTTCCCCTCATCAATTTATGATTCACCTCATCTTTCATAGAAACCCCTCCCCTGACACGTCCACTCCCAAATATCTGAATACATTCACCTCCTCCATCTCTCTCCCTCCAATCTGATATCCAAACTTTCATCACCTAATCTTTTTGTTATCCTCATAACTTTACTCTTTCCTGTATCCACTTTTAATTTTCTTCTTTTGCACACCCCACCAAATTCACCACCAATCTCTGCAAACTTCTCTTCAGAATCTCCCAAGAGCACAGTGTCATCAGCAAAGACCAACTGTGACAACTCCCACTTTATGTGTGATTCTTTATCTTTTAAAATCCACGCCTCTTGCCAAGACCCCCGCATTTACTTCTCTTACAAAACCCCCTCTTTTTTTTTTATTATCACACTGGCCGATTCCCACCAAGGGAGGGGGCCCGGGAAAAAAAAAAAACTTTCACCATCATTCACTCCATCACTGGGCTTGCCAGAAGGTGTGCTTTACACTACAGTTTTTAAACTGCAACATCAACACCCCTCCTTCAGAGTGCAGGCACTGTACTTCCATCTCCAGGACTCAAGTCCGGCCTGCCGGTTTCCCTGAACCCCTTCATAAATGTTACTTTGCTCACACTCCAACAGCACGTCAAGTATTAAAAACCATTTGTCTCCATTCACTCCTACAAACATGCTCACGCATGCCTGCGGGAAGCCAAGCCCCTCGCACACAAAACCTTACCCCCCCCCCCCAAAACCTTTCCTAGGCCAAACCCAACCCCCCCTTTCCCTTTCCCCTACAACTGATACACTTTTTAAAAGTTTTTCTGTTTCCCCCTTTCTCTCCACATTCCGAACCCCCTCAACAACCCTTCCCACCCTTGGACAACTTTTTTTGGTAATCCCGCCCCTTCCCTAATTCCCAAAAAACCCAAATTCTCTGCATTATATTCACACCACCCCTTTGCTCTCAGAAAAGACATCTCCACTCCCTCCAGCCTTCTCCTCGTTGAACTTTCTCCCCCATGCTTCACACCCAATAAGGCGTTGGTAAAACTAAAACTTCATACTTTCCCCTTTTTCCCCCGGAAAAATTTCTTTGTCCCACAGATTTCCTAAGGCACCACCCCCCCTTTTCCCCCTCATCAATTCTATGATTCCCCTCATCTTTCAAGACCCACCCGCTGACAGTTCACCCCCAAATATCTGAATACTTTTCACCCCCCCATACTCTTCCCCCCAATCTGATATCCAATCTTTATCCCCAAATCTTTTTGTTATCCTCTAACCTTTAAATCCCCTTTTTCCTTTAAATTTTTCTTCTTTTGCACACCCTCCCCAAAATTCATCCACCAATCTCTGTAACTTCTCTTAAAAATCTCCCAAGAGCACATGTCTCCAAAGAGAAAACTGTGCAACTCCCCTTTATGGTGATTCTTTATTTTTTTAACTCCACGCCTCTTGCAAAACCCTACATTACTTCTCTTAAAAACCCCATCTTTAAATATTAAAACCACGGGGGACTAACATCCTTTTTAAAGGCCTACTTTTAGGGGAAATAATTTCCCTTTTTCCTACATCTCTAACTTGAGCCTCACTATCCTGTAAAAACTTTCAGCTTTTTGTAACCTACCTCCTACACCATAACCGCAACTCTACCACATTGCCCCCCTATCCCCCCTGTCATCGCCTTTTCCAATTCCATAAATGCCACAAAAACCTTTAGCCTTATCTAAATAGTTACTTATAGTTTTACGTAAAACCTGGTCCACACACCCCCCACCTTCCAAAGCCTTTGTTCATCTGCATCCTATTCTCCCTCTTACTTTAATTCTTTCAATAATAACTCACCATCACTTTACCCGGTATATCAACAGCTTTTCCCCCATAATTTTTTACTCTCTTTTTCCCCCCTTTTCCTTTTTAAAAAAGGGAATATGATGCTCTCGCCAATTGGAATACCCCACCTAAAATCTAGAACGCAAACATTTTCACCCTTTAAAACTACCATTAGAAAAACTTTCTCCTGATCCCCTCAAAACTAAAAAATACCCCTGGTGGTTCACACTTTCACTCACTCACTCATTTGCCCTAAACAGAAAATTTTAATCTCAGTCTTAAAATAAAGAATCCCGTGTACTCCCAAAACTGAAACTATTACTTTTCCAAAAAAACATTTACATTGCAAACTCACAAACTAGTATTTTATCATTACCAAATACCAATTACCTCATAATTTGTAATATTTTACAATTAAGAATAAAACTAAGTACAGTGGACCCCCGGTTAACGATTTTAATCCGTGCAAGAGGGCTCATCGTTATGCGAAATAATCGTTATGCGAATGAATTTTCCCCATAAGAAATAATGGAAATAAAATTAATCCGTGCAAGACGCCCAAAAGTATGAAAAAATTTTTTTTTTACCACATGAAATGTTAATTTTAATACACACAAACTGAAAAAGGCATGCACAATTACATGACACTTACTTTTATTGAAGATCTGGTGATGATTGATGGGAGGGGAGGAGGGGGAGAGCATTATCTTCTTACTGTTTAGAAGGGGAATCCCCTTCCATTAGGACTTGGGGTTTGCAAGTCCTTTTCTGGGGTTACTTCCCTTCTTCTTTTAATGCCACTAGGCCCAGCTTGAGAGTCACTGGACCTCTGTCGCACAACAAATCTGTCCATAAAAGCTCTTTTACCTCCGTTCCTTCAAGACTTTCTAAAATGGGCCATAACATTGTCATGAAATAAGTCACAAGCACGGCTTGCAACAGCTGTGTCAGGGTGATTTTATCTATAAAGGTTTGCAGTTCAACCCACTCTGCACACATTTCCTTAATCTTTGAAGTAGGCACAATGATTCCACAACTGGCATAGGCTTCTCAGGGTTAGCCCCAAAACCCTTCAAAATCTTTCTTAATTTCCATACTAATTCTCCCCTTTTTTACCACAGGGTTGGCACTAGAAGCTTTTTTGGGGGCCCCAAATGGTCACTTATTTTCCAGAAACAGCACCGAAAATACTGTAATAATACGAAATATTCCGAGTGTATGCTTGGATGTTACCGCGGAGGCTGGCTGGTAAACAATGGGACGGAGCGGCACATGTGAGGCTGGCTGAGGGCACATTGGACGCGTCTCGGACGAAAATCGGTATGCGGGTTTTTAATCGGTATGCGCGGCAAAAATTTTGCGATAAAAGTAATCGTTATGCGGAAAAATCGCTATGCGATGCCATCGTTATGCGGGGGTCCACTGTATGCCCGAAATGCCTAGCCATGCTAAGCGTTCTAGTGGTACACTCTGTAATCACAATTTTACTACATGTAAACCAAACAATAACCAAATTTCTGTAAGCATTGTAATCCTTATAGAGAATAAACTTTGAATTTGAATTTGAATTTGAATTTGAATCCCTAGGTACCTTACCCTCTTCCATACATTTATTAAATAATTGCACCAACCACTCCAAAACTATATCCCCACCTGCTTTTAACATTTCTATCTTTATCCCATCAATCCCGGCTGCCTTACCCCCTTTCATTTTACCTACTGCCTCACGAACTTCCCCCACACTCACAAGTGGCTCTTCCTCACTCCTACAAGATGTTATTCTTCCTTGCCCTATACACAAAATCACAGCTTCCCTATCTTCATCAACATTTAACAATTCCTCAAAATATTCCCTCCATCTTCCCAATACCTCTAACCCTCCATTTAATAACTCTCCTCTCCTATTTTTAACTGACAAATCCATTTGTTCTCTAGGCTTTCTTAACTTGTTAATCTCACTCCAAAACTTTTTCTTATTTTCAACAAAATTTGTTGATAACATCTCACCCACTCTCTCATTTGCTCTCTTTTTACATTGCTTCACCACTCTCTTAACCTCTCTTTTTCTCCATATACTCTTCCCTCCTTGCATCACTTCTACTTTGTAAAAACTTGTCATATGCTAACTTTTTCTCCCTTTACTACTCTCTTTACATCATCATTCCACCAATCGCTCCTCTTCCCTCCCGCACCCACTTTCCTGTAACCACAAACTTCTGCTGAACACTCTAACACTACATTTTTAAACCTACCCCATACCTCTTCAACCCCATTGCCTATGCTCTCATTAGCCCATCTATCCTCCAATAGCTGTTTATATCTTACCCTAACTGCCTCCTCTTTTAGTTTATAAACCTTCACCTCTCTCTTCCCTGATGCTTCTATTCTCCTTGTATCCAATCTACCTTTTACTCTCAGTGTAGCTACAACTAGAAAGTGATCTGATATATCTGTGGCCCCTCTATAAACATGTACATCCTGAAGTCTACTCAACAGTCTTTTATCTACCAATACATAATCCAACAAACTACTGTCATTTCGCCCTACATCATATCTTGTATACTTATTTATCCTCTTTTTCTTAAAATATGTATTTACCTATAACTAAACCCCTTTCTATACAAAGTTCAATCAAAGGGCTCCCATTATCATTTACACCTGGCACCCCAAACTTACCTACCACACCCTCTCTAAAAGTTTCTCCTACTTTAGCATTCAGGTCCCCTACTACAATTACTCTCTCACTTGGTTCAAAGGCTCCTATACATTCACTTAACATCTCCCAAAATCTCTCTCTCTCCTCTGCATTCCTCTCTTCTCCAGGTGCATACACGCTTATTATGACCCATTCTCGCATCCAACCTTTACTTTAATCCACATAATTCTTGAATTTACACATTCATATTCTCTTTTCTCCTTCCATAACTGATCATTCAACATTACTGCTACCCCTTCCTTTGCTCTAACTCTCTCAGATACTCCAGATTTAATCCCATTTATTTCCCCCACCGAAAACTCCCCTACCCCCTTCAGCTTTGTTTCGCTTAGGGCCAGGACATCCAACTTCTTTTCATTCATAACATCAGCAATCATCTGTTTCTTGTCATCCGCACTACATCCACGCACATTCAAGCATTCCAGTTTTATAAAGTTTTTCTTCTTCTCTTTTTTAGTAAATGTCTACAGGAGAAGGGGTTACTAGCCCATTGCTCCCGGCATTTTAGTCGCCTCATACGACACGCATGGCTTATGGAGGAAAGATTCTTTTCCACTTCCCCATGGACAATAGAAGAAATAAAGAAGAACAAGAGCTATTTAGAAAAAGGAGAAAAACCTAGATGTATGTATATATATATATATGCATGTGTGTGTCTGTGAAGTGTGACCAAAGTGTAAGTAGGAGTAGCAAGATATCCCTGTTATCTAGCTTGTTTATGAGACAGAGATTCTTACTACACTACCCTAAAGAAGTGAAACTGGCAACTCACATTGTAATTGATTTGGGATATGTTGTGTATCTTTATATGTGTATGCTTCTAGACTGTTGTATTCTGAGCACGTCTGCAAAAACAGTGATAATGTGCGAGTGTGGTGAAAGTGTTGAATGATGATGAAAGTATTTTCTTTTTGGGGATTTTCTTTCTTTTTTGGGTCACCCTGCCTCGGTGGGAGACGGCCGACTTGTTGAAAAAAAAAAAAAAAAAAAAAATAAAGATTTGCCAATAAAATAAGGAAACAATACCTGCAAGCCTATTATTTAGCTCAAGCAACCTATTGTCACCCTGTCTGATGGTAAGATTAATGTCCTTGATTTCCTTTTTAAGAATCTGCAGCCTCTGTTTGCGAGTGTGTTTGGTGACAGCTTTATCAACCTGCAAATACCAGAAGAATAAATACATTATGCACTCACAAGTAATTTCTTTCAAACACAACAAATATCTGTAATTCTAAAAATTAGATGTACAAAAATTCTTGAATGGGATACCCTACCGTAAAGCCACAAAAAAGAAAGTACTGTACACAGATGAGTAATGGTGTACACTATATGAATACAGTACTATGTATAGTATTAACATTGTATTGATATGCTGATTTCAAAGTCAGAATAAGAGCAAATGTGTGTATATAATAAGCTGGCAGTTGGGGTACAGAGTGGTTGAGGAGAGAAATTACTTAAATATATGCTTTGGATAACAAAAATAGTGTGATTTTGTAGGCAGTTGATGTTGGTGTGGCGTGAGAGTGAGTAGAGGTGGGTGGGTTGTAACTAGGAAGAACTAAACATAGTAATATAAATCTGTTATATGTAGGTTAAGTTAAGTGTTATGACCAAGGTCATAATGAGATTAATTTATGTATTATCCACTTAATATTATACTCGGGGTTTCTTTAATATTAGCTAAATTAAAGATTCCACTAGTTTATAATATTATCTGATTTAGGAATATACCCGGGTATGATGTGTATATATATATATTTACATATTTTGAGTAATGTTAGGTAGGTAGGTAACAGCTGGCTAAAAGTTGAAACAAGGTATGTCCTTGGAGGGTAGTTTAGCCTACTATTTCCTCTCCCCTTTGGCGAGTTGATGTCATGTATGGATTAACTGTGTTAATTCAGTTCGCTCTCTCTGCCGACTCAGTGTGCATTGACTGAGCTACCCTCCTAGTACTCCGCCTTATTCTCACTTGGATAGAGAATCCTGTTGTAGAAACTCCTGAACCAGCTTGTGGTTTATTGTGAAGTGAAGTCTGCGGACAATTATATACTGTTACCTTCAGTTTACGATGTGATGACCAGTGTCAAGCTTAGAACTTTGTGATATATTCCTTATGCCAGGGAGTTACTCAGTGAAAGTGTTAAGTCTCAATATATGTACTTGCACACAAGTAATGTTACTATTGAGGAAGCAGTAATATTCCTCTGATCATTATCAAGTGTAGTGACGATATTGACAGTCTCCAGAGGGAGTCTATGATGTACATTCTATTTAAGAGTTTTCTTGTGTGAAGGAAAGTTTCTGACCAAAGTGATATTTAATAGATATTTGTGAATATCTAAAATATTTAAGCTTTTAAATAAAAAGAGACTAGGAAAAGACTGAGTAACTATTATTTGTGCCTTACATTTCTAAGTTTGGAAATATCTTCTCATTCTATGAAGTGTATTGTTACAGAGTGCACTAACCTGGCTAAAGATTAAGATTCGAACCGTAACAATAAGGTTAACATACTATAAGACAACAAACTATCTTAATAAACAAGATAATACATGAATGACATATCGCTTAATATACAAAAACAGCAATACAATATTATATAAGTATTAACTTACTGCAGCTTCAACATCACGTTCCAATGACAGCTGATCTACAACTGAGATCCCCAGAGCTCTTAGCTCATCATCCTGGTCTTGCAGGTCTTGAGCCACAGAACTTCTGCTGTTGTCTGCACTCATTTTGTTGTCTCCTCCACTTAATAAGTTACGAAGAATGTTATCAGATGGTGTGAAGCTCATCTCCATTTTTGTGGACTGTTCATTATTAATAGACTGCAAGCTCATAGCATCATTCTTGCCCATTGTTTCAGAGGATGCCCCTTCCAATGTAGAACATCCTGCCTCTTGGCTTCCCATGATGAATCTGTAAGGAAAAGATAACTAAGTTTTCAAAATTTTCTTCTGAGATATTATTTGTGTTTCCTATTCTACAAAATAATTGGACTTTTAAGTTAAAAATTGCTCTCTTTGCAGTGTTTTTTTTAATGAAATTACTGACATCCTGCTATAAAATATATTTTCTTTTATTTATTAACAATCACATTTGAACTAATATTGTATTTATCTTGTGTAGTATGAACAAAATGTAGTTTACATGTTATAAAATATTAAGCACAAAAGAAAGCCACTAGCATGCATGGAAATAAGTCAGTCTGTCTGACCTTTTTTTTGGGTTATCCTAGGTAATTTACAATGGGTTATCCTATGTAATTTACACTAAGTATGTTAATTGTACTTATGTGCACCTACCAGTCAAGCCAACACCACCTCCTCTAATATTTAATGCCGCTCACCTGGTGCACTTATGGAGACAATCCAGGATTCTCTAATATAATCCCACTATTCACTACAGTAACCATAACAAAACATAACTGGATAATACAAGCAGTTGTTGTTAAGTGTTAGGGTTGTTAAGGGACAGTTCTTGTTATTATTCTTGTTGGGGATTTTAAGGGCCGCTGACAACTTCTCCACGAAGGAAGTTCCTTAATGTTGGTGAGGGTTCTTGATCCAATGAATTGGACTTGTTCTCCTCTTCCTTGGATCAAACTTAATTGCCTCTCGTTCCCCAGGCGATATATGATCCTTGCGGAATTTACCTCTTCTCTCTATATAATAATAATAATAATAATAATAATAATAATAATAATAATAATAATAATAATAATAATAATATAAAATAAAAGCTTACGCTGTATGAAGATCTTCCCAATGTAAGTTTATTTAGGTACAGTTACACATAAGTACAATTACGTAAATTAAGGTGATTATAATTACTATACATGTGTGAATTACCTAGGATAACCCGTAAAAGTTAGACAAAATGACTTATTTCCACTTGGGCCCTTTTAATATCTTAACAATAAGAGTCTAATTATAAGATACAGTCGAAATCAGTCATGATTATAACCTTAAAAATTAAAGCAACCAAGTAACTCAACTGCGCTGCTCAGCTAGTGAGATTCTGCTTGCCTCGCAGGATGTTGCCCCTTTCTGGACAACTGCTCGCCAGTCATTCCTGTCCTGAGCTATCAGCTCCCACATGGTGTGGTTGATATTGAAAGCTTTCAGAGCAGTCTTAAGGGTGTCCTTATAGCGTTTCTTTTGGCCTCCTTGAGAGCGCTTTCCATGCTGCAGTTCGCCAAACAAGAGTTTCTTTGGCAGCCGGTGGTCTGGCATGCGAGCAAACGTGACCTGCCCAGCGAAGCTGTGTCTGCATTAGGATGGTGTAGATGCTAGGCAGGCCAGCTGTAGTCAGCACTTCTGTGTCTGGGATCTTATCTTGCCATTTGATGCCAAGAATTTTTCTGAGCCGTGTGGTGTGAAAGTGGTTCAACTTTCTGGCGTGACGTTTGTAGACAGTCCAGGTTTCGCAGCCATAGAGAAGTGTGGTGAGGACTATGGCTCTGTACACCTTGATCTTGGTGCTTGTGGTGATGCCTCTTCGGTTCCACACATTCTTGTGGAGCCTGCCGAAAGTGGCACTGGCTTTGGCAAGTCTGGCATTCACCTCATCATCGATGACAACGTTTCTGGAAAGGGTACTGCCGAGGTAGGTGAATTTGTCTACGGCGTTCAGTCGCTGCCCGTTGATGGTGATGTTTGGCTCAACATACGTCTTCCCGGAGCAGGCTGGTGCATCACTTCAGTCTTCGTTGTACTGATTGTCAGCCCGAAGTTGTTGCAGGCGTCAGAGAACTTGTCAACACTGTGCTGCATGGCGGCTTCTGAAGCAGCGTTGAGGGCGCAGTCATCAGCAAATAGCAGGTCATTGATGGTGTCAGTTGCAGCCTTGGTTTTTGCTTGAAGCCTCCTGAGGTTGAAGACAGACCCATCTGTACGGTACCTGATGCCGATTCCTGCGTCTGTGTCCCTGAATGCGTCTGTAAGCATGGCCGAGAACATCAGGCTGAACAGGGTGGAAGCAAGCACGCAGCCTTGTTTCACTCCATTTGAGACTGGGAATGGTTTAGACGTTTCTCCGTTGTCTTGGACTCTGGCCAGCATTCCATCGTGAAGTTGGCGTACGATGGCGATAAACGTCTTTGGGCAGCCGTACTTTGCCATGATTCTCCAAAGGCCCTCTCTACTAACGGTGTCGAAGGCCTTGGTCAAATCGACGTAGGTGGAGTACAAGTCGGCGTTCTGTTCCTGACATTTCTCCTGTAGCTGTCTAGCAGCGAACACCATGTCGATAGTCCCGCGATCTTTCCGGAAGCCGCACTGGCTTTCAGGTAGGAGTCCTTGCTCTAGATGTTCATTGAGCCGATTGAGTAGAACTCTAGTCAGGGTTTTGCCTGCGATGGAGAGCAGGGAGATACCACGGTGGTTGTCGCATGCCTGGCGGTTTCCTTTTCGTTTGTAGAGATGCACGATGGAAGCATCTTTAAAGTCCTGAGGAACTGTCTCGTACTGCCATACAAGCTGGAAGAGTTGATGAAGTTTCTCTACCAGTGCCATTCCGCCTTCTTTGTAGACTTCAGCTGGGATGGAGTCAGACCCAGTAGCTTTGCCACTGGACAGTTGACGTATTGCTTGCTGAGTCTCCTCCAAAGTGGGGATGCCATTCAGCGTCTCGTTGGTCGGAATCTGAGGTAGACGTTCGATGGCTTCATCGTTGATGGTGGATGGACGGTTCAGCACGCTGTCAAAATGTTCTGCCCATCTCTCTAGAATTTTCTTGTCTGTGAGCAGCGTTGACCCATCTGCGCTGAGGAGTGGTGATGTGCCAGAGGTGGTAGGGCCGTAGATTTCTTTCAGGCCGTCATAGAAGTTCTTCATATCGTTTCTGTCTGCAAAGCCCTGAATCTCATCGGCTTTGTTGCTTAGCCAAGAGTCTTGCATTTCACGCATTTTTCGCTGGGTATTGCTGCGTATGTTTCTCAGTGCATCTTGCTTCGCTGTGGACTTTGGGTCGTTGATGTGGGCCATGTAGGCCTTTCGTTTCTCTTCCAGCAACTGCTGGATTTCTGTGCAGTGTTCGTCGAACCAGTCCTTGTGCTTCCTGGTGACGGGTCCTAGACACTCCATGGCTGTGCTGTACATTGTATCACGGAGTGCGATCCATGCTGCTTCGACGTTTTGAACGTCCAGCACGACGGACTCCAAGCGGGTTTCCAGGATTTCTGCAAAGGACTGCTTGACGTTGTGGGCCTTCAGCTTGCCGACGTTCAGGCGTTTTGGTGGTTTCGCGCCCTGAGGGCGTCTCCTGGGCTGGACACGGAGCTTGAAGGTGCTTCTGGAAGGTTGGATGAACCAGCTCAGGAAGCCACCTAAAATGTTCCTAAAGAGCGAAGGTACAGAGAGGGAGAAGAGTGAATTTCTTGTACAGTTAACACAAATGTTAACTGTACAAGAAATTCACTCTTCTCCCTCTCTGTACCTTCGCTCTTTAGGAACATTTTAGGTGACTTCCTGAGCTGGTTCACCCAACCTTCCAGAAGCACCTTCATCCAAACTTTACTTATGACAAAACATTTCATTCTTAATAAGATACAACCTGAAATATTCAGGTTGTATCCACTTGTATAGAGATTCTAATCCAGTTATGACCATCTTTTTTTAGTGGAAATAAGATAAAAAAAATTAATGAATTCCATTTTGCATTACCCGAAAGATACCCGGAGGATGTTTTGGGGGTCGACGCCCCCACGGCCCGGTCCATGTGCACATCAACTATACAGAGTAATAGTAAAATACAAAATGACTAATATTTCTTTCTAGTGGTGTAACAATGCTCAGATGGAGCTGACAAAGAAACATTGTGACTTCTGTAATCCTGGTTTTTGCACTACCACTCACAGGATGAGCTGCGGGTGAACTCAGGTGCCACAACTAATTTTTTTTACTTTTTGGGAATTATTTTAGGTAATTTACACATATGTTATTATGTGTGATAATTGTAATAACCAAAATTTTGCGTAACTTTACTAAGTGAAAATATTTGCATTGGGAAGCAGCATAAGCTGCCATTTAATGTTATTATTAGTATTTTAAGGAGAAGTGCTAAATATCTAAGGGAAAGAGAAAAGTAATTCCGAAATGAAAAGGTAGTTTCCTTTGCAAATAAAAATAGAACTAAAAGTTTTGTGGGAGAGGGAGACACAACCCCACCTGAGTTTAGTAACCGGCTTTCCATTATTTATTTTTATTATCACACTGGCCGATTCCCACCAAGGCAGGGTGGCCCGAAAAAGAAAAACTTTCACCATCATTCACTCCATCACTGTCTTGCCAGAAGGGTGCTTTACAATACAGTTTTTAAACTGCAACATTAACACCCCTCCTTCAGAGTGCAGGCACTGTACTTCCCATCTCCAGGACTCAAGTCCGGCCTGCCGGTTTCCCTGAACCCCTTCATAAATGTTACTTTGCTCACACTCCAACAGCACATCAAGTATTAAAAACCATTTGTCTCCATTCACTCCTATCAAACACGCTCACGCATGCCTGCTGGAAGTCCAAGCCCCTCGCACACAAAACCTCCTTTACCCCCTCTCTCCAACCTTTTCTAGGCCGACCCCTACCCCGCCTTCCTTCCACTACAGACTGATACACTCTTGAAGTCATTCTGTTTCGCTCCATTCTCTCTACATGTCCGAACCACCTCAACAACCCTTCCTCAGCCCTCTGGACAACAGTTTTGGTAATCCCGCACCTCCTCCTAACTTCCAAACTACGAATTCTCTGCATTGTATTCACACCACACATTGCTCTCAGACATGACATCTCCACTGCCTCCAGCCTTCTCCTCGCTGCAACATTCATCACCCATGCTTCACACCCATATAAGAGCGTTGGTAAAACTATACTCTCATACATTCCCCTCTTTGCCTCCAAGGACAAAGTTCTTTTCCCCTCATCAATTCTATGATTCACCTCATCTTTCATAGACCCATCCGCTGACACGTCCACTCCCAAATATCTGAATACATTCACCTCCTCCATACTCTCTCCCTCCAATCTGATATCCAATCTTTCATCACCTAATCTTTTTGTTATCCTCATAACCTTACTCTTTCCTGTATTCACCTTTAATTTTCTTTTGCACACCCTACCAAATTCATCCACCAATCTCTGCAACTTCTCTTCAGAATCTCCCAAGAGCACAGTGTCATCAGCAAAGAGCAGCTGTGACAACTCCCACTTTGTGTGTGATTCCATTATATCCGTAAAATATCCTTAAATCAGAAAAATGTAGCTGATGAATGGTTCCTCGACCGTTAATGTTCACAGCGGGAAGAATTAGATAAAGACAAGCGTCCTAAAGAGAATGTGGGAAATTTGTCGAAGATACTCAGGCGAGAGCGAGACATCTGCAAGCCACCAAGATGGCTTAAGCAGCATCACTATCAGCTACGACAGCAGCAGCAATTGCAGTAGAAGCAACATTAGCAACAGCAGTAGCAGAAACAGCAACAATAGCAGTAGAAGCAGCTGCAGCAACAACAGTAACAGCCACACAAGCAGCTGCAACAGATAAACAGTAATAGCAGCAGCTGCAGTTAATGATACTGGTTATTGCTATGTGATTCTTTCGGGTTTAGCGCTACTCTGTTATCTATAAGCCTTCTAAGATTTACCAAGAAAGTTGTATTATTAGCTAATATCCTATTACAATTCTAATGTAATTATTATTATTTTAAGGAAATTATTATTGGGAAATAAAATTGTGTTATCCTAGGTAATTTACACGTGTTAAACTATGTATAATAATTGTAGTTATGTTTACCTGTACCTAAATAAACTTACTTAATTACTCACTTTATCTTATTAAAATATTATAGTAAATTTTAACTTTCTTGTGTAAGCGACGTAAACAATATTATAAATCATAAGTTCCAGGTTATGTATTGTAGTAATCTCAAATAAAAGTGCACGTGAAGTTTGTAAAATAATATAATGTAACAATAATTGTGTGATTTTTACCAATTAATTTATAACAGTACACTACAAATAAAAAAAAGTACACGTCAAAGAGTCATTTAAAAACTTCGGTACATAATCCTTAGTTAAGACTATTGTTTAATTTAATAACTAATCTAACTCCTAGGCGAGCTGCTTAACATGATATCTAAGACACTTCTAAGTAAACTTCCCGAGTGTTGTGTGAGGTTCAACACCGTGGACAAGATTCTGAGTTAACCTTCGTGGTGTCGATGAAGTTTAGATAAGCATCCACCTCGCCTAATTAGGATCCTACAGTTCCCTATTTTTTTTTTTTTTTTGAGGAAATTTTCCTTTTTTGCTGCCCTCATACGTTTGGACAATATGTTCACAAGATTTCAGAAAGTTAGGCCCATACTGCACGCCGCCATAGCCCTTGAAAAGCAACAGCAGCAAACAACTACATTTATCCTGAAGAGCCAATCTTCCCCTTTCTCGACAGGCACTGTATAATCCTACGGGTTTAGCGCTTTCCCTTTGATTATAATTATAATAAATTCCCCTTTCTTAAATTGAACCTGATTTCCTCCCATTTCTCAGGCGCTATATGACCCTTGTGTGTCAGCCTATATAACATTTTATTAAATAAAATCATCTTTGTAAATACACAATAAAAATTTAAGAGTTACTGTAATTGTCATGTACTACATGAATATGGAAGGAAACTGTTGGGATGCAGCTGTTTTAAGGTAATATTTTGTCAATGATTTATCTACTGTTTATTTTAGTTTGCCCCAAAATACCACCAGTATATAAACTTATTATATACTATATTATACATATTATATAACTTGCAAATCAACAGGGTGTTTCATACCAAATCCACAATCTTTAAAAGACACACATTTATATACTGTACAGTACATTGCTTTGAATATTATATATAGTACTAGATTTAAACACTAATAGAAGGTTTAGAGTGATGTGTATCTTCTGTGCATAACCATATTTCCAGACGGCAGATCATGTCATCCAGCCCTGAATTACGAGCATTGGAATCTAAAATTCATGCCTGTGCTCTTACTCGTGACAACAGTGCAGCCATTGCAGAAAAGGAGGCCCAGAGGAAAATATTAGATGTAAGACTGGTTTTATTTTGCAACACCCTTCACTGCAACAGAAATAATAACTGTGATCACATTCATATCAGTATACAACTTTTGGAGAATTTGTTTTATTGCTACAGTCATTGAGATACAAATTCTGTACTTATCTTTACCATTGTGATTTGGGTTTGTGGCAGCCTCTCCCCACACCTGCCTCAACAAGATCATTGATGTAAGTCCTTGGAGCATTTTGGAATATAAATATGGGATTATAGTTTTTTCCCTAAATGTTAGGTTCAGGTCCTCAATACCTCTTCTTTCTCTACATAAGCATATTCATTCTAAGCCTTCCCATACTGGCTTCAACAGGTGCTATTTAAAATCAGAGAGAGAGAGAGGAGCAAAATGTCTATGATGTGTACGAGTTTCACTTGTTGCACTCATTCTCGCTTCACATATCACAACAGCTCACTTCATGTATTACATTGAGTTTTCTTACACAAAGATGAAATTGTAATAATATGCATCTACTGTATATATGTATACGGTGATTTCTGCTTTACAGAGGTAGCGTGGAACCTAACCTGCTGTATGATTGGGGCCCCTACTGTAAATTTATTTTATAATTATTAATTGGTATTTATCTCATATGTTATTTTTTACCCAGTGTCAAGACAAGAAATATGCTCAACTTGTGAAGCAGCTGGAATCTGAGGAACAATTGTCTAATGCCATCTCATGTGCAGCAAGACAAGCAAAGAGGCTAGAGACACAACAGGTAACTTATGTTGCTTCATTTGTTCTGTCAATTATATTTGAAATTTTCTTGATTTTTATTGTATATTTATGAGAAAGAGCTAAATCTGTAGGGGTCATGTAATGCTTGAAGAATTGGGGGGGGGGGGTAATCAGGTTTGATCCAAGGAAGAGGGGAGGGGGGCATAACTCCAGGTCCTCCATTAAGAGCTCTTCACCAGCATCAAGGCACCTTTTTCAATGGAAGCATGCTCAATTTTTTTTAGCCAGTCTGTTTTTAATTCAGTTTGAATGAAAAGTATTCTGGTCAGTGCTTAGAGAAAGCAATGCATTGTAAAAATCAACTGAATTTTTATTGTGATCATTCTATTTTTTAAGAATGATTCCCATACTTTGACATATTTATTACATTTTCCAAAGTTTTATTTATGTATATTTAAGTTTACATTAATAAAACTTTTACATATTTGTTTGATCTCATTTTCAGAAGGGCAACATTAAGATGGCTGTGCATACCTGAGACTATTAGGATTTGCATCTTTATTATTTATTATATTTTTTATTAACATCGGCCGTTTCCCACCAAGAGCAGGGTGGCCTGAAAACGAAAAACTTTCATCATCATTCACTCCATCACTGTCTTGCCAGAGGCGTGCTTACACTACAGTTATAAAACTGCAACATTAACACCCTTCCTTCAGAGTGCAGGCACTGTATACATTATATATTAGTATACTGTACATTGCTTGGGTTCCCAATTTTTTTAGCAGATGGACGTCCCAACCTCTCAAAGCAGAAACAAAAGGAGGAGTCACTGCATAATAGTCATTAAAAGTAAAACTCAAAACTGTGCTTGTTTCTAGCTTTTTTCTTTATTAGGTTCTGAAGGAACAAATTGCCAAAAAGGCTGAAATTAAAGCTAAAATGGAAGCCGAGAAAACCCTGGAAATGTTATCTGAGATCGATGAGGACAGGTTAATAAAAAAAGAAAAAGAAGAGTAAGTTGACATTTTAGGGTATGTATATTTTAATAATAACCCCATATTAGTTTATACTTTCAAAAGTTTGTCTGGATAGGAACAATGAAAGTTCTTTGTAATACTGTATAACAAAGTTATGAAAAGAATTGCCATTTGACTATGAAGTTTGTTTTTATGTTTACTCATTTTAAGTGCATTAATTATTAAACTTTAAAGGCAGTTGAAGAAAAAGCAGGAATCTCAAAAACACAATCATCAGATCTTCTTGAAGCAGAGTCAGCTGAGGAAGCTAAAGCAAGAGGAGCAAAAACTTAAGGACAGAAATTTGGCACGGTATTTACTGAACAGTACTGTAAATTTGCACATGTTAATGTCCTTGTTTCTTTCATAGATTATTTCTGTTAACATTCCGGCAGTCTCTACCATGGTAAGGTGGCTTGACAAAGGAGAAAACATTTTCACTTACTCATTCAGTCACTGTCTTGCAAGAAGAGTTCTGCCATCACAGTTCAGATGACCCTCCAGACCACAACATCCCCATCCCTCCTTCAGTATTTGTTTGTACGTTGAGCCGGTCATAAATCGGATGTTACTAGTATCTAATATATTCCCAGTTGCAGAAACTTTTCATGTTATCTGAAGAAGACTTTATGCTACTTAAAGAATACAGAATTATTTTTAAAATAAGTTTGTTGGTGGGTTGGATCACACTGTCAATATTCTAACTTTAAAGAGAAGGTATATGCATAAATTACAGATATTCCTAGTTTGGTGTCCTGTTTACGTGTCCTATTTTGGTGTCATTTATGTATGTACATTGTGAGCAACAAAGGGCCCAACACTGACCCCTGTGGAACGCTGCTTGTGATATGTCTCCACTCTGATTTCTCCCCATTTATGCAAACTCTCTTGCCTATCTGTCAGCCACACCTCTATCCAAGAAAAAATTCCCCCTTCTATTCCACGTGCATCTATGTACTTTCCTCAGCAATCTCTGGGTAGAACTCTATCAAAGGCCTTACCGAAGTTCATATACAAAATATCATATTCATTACCATAATCTACCACCTCAAATCAGTGGCAGACCTAAATTTTTGGGGCCTTGAAGCTTGAACTGTTATAAGCCCCTGGTTTAGCACTTCTTTTTGATTATAATAATAATAATAATAATGGGAGCCCCTTTGCAACCAGCAACAAGGTCTGGGTAACCACTGTTTTCTTCAGTAGGGTTGTTTCATGACAAATCACCACAAATGAATGAAACATCCTTAATTTGCATGTTTTTTTCATGTACAGCTAGCCTACATGATACTCTAATAACCTTTTAGTTTTTATTTTAACTATTATTTTTTAATGAATTACACTATTATTATTATTATTTTTTAAGAATCCCTTCCTTCTCATACAGTAGACGCAAAATTTTCAAGTAATGTGGGCTAAAGTCGTTTATAAAGTTTAAGCTTCATTAGTTTCATAGACGATACACCTTTGCCTCAAATACCCTAGTGAAAAAAGCCAGTAAATTCATAAGGCAGGAACACCCCTTTGGAAAATTGTGCTGAGATTCACTGATTAATTTATATCTTACAAGGTGGCTTCGAATAGCCTCAAGAATTATTGATTCCATCAATTTTCCCACAATGGAGGTTAGGCTGATTGGTCTATAATACCTGTCTCCTGCATAGTAAACAGGTATTTCATTTGCCATTTTCCACAGGTACTATGCCATTTCGTAGTAATACATTGAAAGTACTGGCTAATGGCGTACAAAGTTCCTCCTTACATTCCTTTATAACCCTTGAGAACAATTCATCAGAACCCAGGGATTTATTTGGCTTTAATTCTAAAAATTTGCCTGAGAACTATGTCACTAGTGACTGATTGTGTATAACTTATTTTCGTTCTTGCTTATGTAATTTATTTCAGGAATTTCACTAGTATCTTCCTGCATAAAAACAGGGGGAAGAAATAAGTGTTGAAGATTGTACACATTTCCTTGTCACTGATGGTAAGATGACATGAGCAACTTTTCAGTGGGCCTATCTCTTTCTTAATCTTACTCCTATGTACCTGAAAGAAACCTGTTGGGTTAATCTTTCAATCCCTTGCAACTTTTTCATAATATCTTGTAGCTTTTCTTATTCCTTTTGTTATTACTCTTTTTAATTAAACATATTGATTTTTAAGTGCCCCTCTCCTCTTGATTCATCTTTAATAATAATTGGACAACAAATGCTGTAGATGAGCTGTGATCATATTATATACAATGACATCATAATATACTCATAAGAAATTTTGATTATGTAAATTTCATCTTTTGCCTGAAATGCTATACATCCTATGGGCCTTCAGATTACTGTATATTTTATACAGTAATTTTGAAATAAAGATTTGTGTTTGTACGTATTTTTCAGAAAATATGCTGCCCAAACCACTCTGCGTCTCCTAATACAGTACATCCTCTTGTTTGCATTTATATTCTAGGTCAGCCGAGGAATATAACTTAATAGTGGACCTACAGAAGGAAGTGGAGAGACAAAAGGAAGAAATGCAGAGACTTCAGCAAAATTGTCGAGAGCTGACCTTAGTGAAGCAACTTGAGAAGCAGCAGGTATGTTAAATTACATATCACTGTTCATGACTCCTTTGGTATTGGGATTTTCACAATTTGGCTATGTAACACTAGTCTCATAGTACCATTTCTTTGTGTATTTTTTTACATGCCAGAAATGCTCAAATATCACAATTGAAGTGCCCCTCCCATCCTTCACTGTAGGCAGAGTGCTTTGTGCCAATTTTCACCAAGTCACTTTATAAATGTATGTCTGGTTTTCATCCTAATACTGTATGGTCATGTAATACGCCAGTCTCTTTGCTTTCATTTTGTGGCACCTTTGCTATTCCTAAAACAGAATGTATTCTTGTTCCCATTCCACAGCCACCCTGTGGGAATAAATTAACTATCTGTGTATTCCCTAACACCACTCATATGAACTCTCTTCAAAAAGCATTCTCTTCTTCTTTCAACAAATCGGCCGTATCCCACCGAGGCAGGGTGGCCCAAAAAGAAAAACGAAAGTTTCTCTTTTTAAATTTAGTAATTTATGCAGGAGAAGGGGTTACTAGGCCCTTGCTCCCGCTTTTTAGTCACCTCTTACAAAAGGAGGAGGAAGAATTCTGTTCCACTTCCCCATGGAGATCAGAGGAAATAAACAAGAACAACAACTAGTAAGAAAATAGAAGAAAACCAAGAGGGGTGTGTATATATATGGGGAGGAGGAGTATGGAAGAAGTGAATGTTGTCAGATACTTGGGAGTTGACGTGTCGGCGGATGGATTTATGAAGGATGAGGTTAATCATAGAATTGATGAGGGAAAAAAGGTGAGTGGTGCATTGAGGTATATGTGGAGTCAAAAAACGTTATTTATGGAGGCAAAGAAGGGAATGTATGAAAGTATAGTAGTACCAACACTCTTATATGGGTGTGAAGCTTGGGTGGTAAATGCAGCAGCAAGGAGATGGTTGGAGGCAGTGGAGATGTTCTGTCTAAGGGCAATGTGTGGTGTAAATATTATGCAGAAAATTCGGAGGTGTGGAAATTAGGAAAAGTGTGGAGTTAATAAAAGTATTAGTCAGAGGGCAGAAGAGGGGTTGTTGAGGTGGTTTGGTCATTTAGAGAGGTGTGGAGTTAATAAAAGTATTAGTCAGAGGGCAGAAGAGGGGTTGTTGAGGTGGTTTGGTCATTTAGAGAGAATGGATCAAAGTGGAATGACATGGAAAGCATATAAATCTATAGGGGAAGGAAGGCGAGGTAGGGGTCGTCCTCGAAAGGGTTGGAGAGAGGGGGTAAGGAGGTTTTGTGGGCAAGGGGCTTGGACTTCCAGCAAGCGTGCGTGAGCGTGTTAGATAGGAGTGAATGGAGATGAATGGTACTTGGGACCTGACGATCTGTTGGAGTGTGAGCAGGGTAATATTTAGTGAAGGGATTCAAGGAAAACCGGTTATTTTCATATAGTTGGACTTGAGTCCTGGAAATGGGAAGTACAATGCCTGCACTTTAAAGGAGGAGTTTGGGATATTGGCAGTTTGGAGGGATATGTTATGTATCTTTATACGTATATGCTTCTAAGCTGTTGTATTCTGAGCACCTCTGCAAAAACAGTGATTATGTGTGAGTGTGTGAAGTGTTGATGATGATGAAGCATTTCTTTGGGATTTTCGATTATGTGTAGTGTGGTGAAAGTGCTGAATGATGATGAAAGCATTTTCTTTTTGGGGATTTTCTTTCTTTTTTGGGTCACCCTGCCTCGGTGGGAGACCGCCGACTTGTTAAAAAAAAAAAAACATGTATGTGTAGTGTGACCTAAGTGTAAGTAGAAGTAGCAAGATGTACCTGAAACCTTTCATGTTTATGAGACAGAAAAATGGACACCAGCAATCCTACCATCATGTAAAACAATTACAGGCTTTTGTTTTACACTCACTTGGCAGGACAGTAGTACCTCCCTGGGCGGTTGCTGTCTACCAACTTACTACCTATATTTTGCACTGTATTTTTTTTTATATTTGAAACAGTGAGTTCTAAAACTAGAATGAACTTTCTTAAATAAATAATAATAGGGTACCAGTATTTATAAAAATGAACTTGGTAGTAAAAATGTTACCTATATTTTGGTATACTGTGTACTTTATTTGAAAATTTGTCCCTCAGCATTCAAGAGATGTTCTTCGAGATATGCGTCTAGAGTTGGAAGTATTGGAGGTGCAGGCTGAGGAGAAGAAACATGCAGAAAACAAACAACAAAGAGAAGTAGCAGCTAAGATTAACCTAAGAGAAGGCTGGGATAATCAGTTACGGTAAGGGTAGGCGGGGAACAGGACATTATTATATACTGTTATTTGAAATGGTGCTAGGGCTCCAACATCACAAAAGTAGAATCAATTTTAATATCTTATCTGGATGCTCAGTTAGTTATTTCATTAGTCATAAATTTTAATAAATTTTGTACTATGTTATTTTCAGGTATAAAGCAAGAGCAGATGCTAAAGAGCGAGAAAAAGAAGCAGAGTATCGCAAGCTGGTAAGTTGTGTGTTTGGTATCTAGAATTGGTAACATAATTGTCTCAATCAGTCTCAGATTTTCCAGTAGAATCATACTTTTTATTACTATATTACTGACGAGCTGTTGGAGTGTGTGCAGGGTAAAATTTTGTGAAAGGATTCAGGGAAAATGGTTATCTGGACTTGAGTCCTGGAAATGGGAATATGAGCAATTTGGAGGGAAATCTAAACTGTTGTATCTGAGCGCCTCTGCAAAGACAGTGATTATGTATGAGTGATGGTGAACGTGTTGAATGATGAAAGTTTTTTCTTTCTTTTTAGGTCTCCCTGCCTCAATGGAAATGGCCATGTTAAAAAAATTACTGTTACCTTTAAATTCTTCCTATACTTCAGTATTTGGTTAATTATTAAAAAGTTTACTTATTAGGTATTTCTAATAGAAGAAACTTTTTTTCACTCCCTATTTCCCATGCATTGCTTTTGGATGATAGATTGAGAATACTTCTTATACTTGATCTGATACTTTCAATTCTTGCATGCAGGGATCTCCTACTAATGAACAAAATGTTCTGAAAATTGTTTGTAACTTGAGTGTTTAATATTCCGAGCTTGTTTCCTATGGAAACCCATGTTATGATCAGAAATGTCTTCTGGTTCAATAATGTTCTGTATCTAATCTCACTTTTATCTCTGAAATTAAAAATATACCATAGTCACCCAAGATGGATCCCTTTCTCTTCCCTTCCCTTCCCTTCCCTTGCTCCCATCGTGTCATCTTCAGTATTTAGGCTATTATAATCTTTTCTGGTAAAGATACCACTTACTATCTCCTCTTGTATATTATTTTGTTGTTTTGTCAATGAATAAAAGCTATATGTAACATGTTTTGTTACATATAGCTGTTGAAAGATTTGTACTCAGTGCTAAATTTTACAAATTAGCCATGATATGCACCCATGCTATGATGAAATCCAAAGGCTTCTGTTTGAAAAGCCTGATTTTATACACATTTTTATATAAAATCCAGAGCATCCCCATTGTGTGTCCAAAGCCTCCTCACATGTGAAGAGGCTTGGGACTGTTGATATAGTCATTTACAAACTTTCTATCTTTTAAAGATTCTATCATGTATTTTTTTTTTTCAACAAACCGGCCGTATCCCACCGAGGCAGGGTGACCTAAAAGAAAAACCAGAATTTTGTTTTTAAATTTTGTAATTTATACAGGAGAAGGGGTTACTAGCCCCTTGCTCCCAGCAGATTAGTCACCTCTTGTGACACTCATGGCTTACAGACGAAGAATTCTGTTCCACTTTCCCATGGAGAATGTATTTTTAAATGTCAAATAAGATAGACAAGGTAGGTGCAGTAGCCATACTACGACAATCTAAACGAGTCAGTCGTGCACATAAATTATTATTTAACATATCTGTCATCTCCCACCAAGACAGAGTGAAGGAAAAGTCAACGTCTCTCGCTCCTTAGCGTTTTTACACCTTTTTTTTTTTTTTTTTTTTTTTTTTTTTTGCGTCTTGGAAAATATGATTTAATTAAAACTATGAGATATGCAGACACACTACAGCACAGTACAAATGTAATTCTACTGGTACTGTACAGTTCCTTCAGTTTATACAAGTTTGCTTAATGTGACAAACACCATAATTCCAGCGATCAAATACTGGAGCTTTTTAAAATTTCCTGAACCATTCCTGCTCTACCCTACACTAAAAATTTACTTTAATCCATATTCTAGGGACTGAAGTTGATGTAGTACTGTACTGTGTTTTAGATGGAGTGCAGTCTAATGAGTTTTTTGTTGTTGATAAGCTAAGTTAATAGTTTTAAAGCTGGAAGAGCATTTGAGAGGTAAGACAGGTAATATATCACTTTCACGGCCAAGGTTACTTTGATATGTTTTAGTAAAATCACTCTTTGTACCATTTTTCATGAACACAGCCCCTGTAAAGATCAAGTGTTAGGTGCATAATATATCTGATTGTGTTGCTAGATATTACCATTATAATATCATAAAATTGGCTTTTACAGCTACTCGAGGTGCTGGCTGAGGAGGCAAGACTTGACCAGTTGGTGTCAGAAGCTCGAAGGCGACGACAGCTAGACCACAGGCTCCTTGTGGATCAGCTGTTAGAGGAAAGAAGAGCCATGCGGGCCACCATCGTGAAGCAGCGCCAGGAGGAGGACATGACTGCTCACCATTATGAACAGCTGAGGTACAGTATGATTCCTTTTAAATTCAAGGGCTTATAGATTTTGAAGCAGTTTTGTTTATTCATATTTATCATTCATGAAAAGTAAGTTCCAAAGCTGGACCTCAGTATTATTATTATAATCATAAGTGCTAAACCCATGAGGGTCATACAGTGCTGAGGACCCCAGCATTATTTAAGAAGAATGTTAATTGTCACATCTTATAATTTGTAGTGTTGATTCACTTAGCAAAGTTTTTTATGCATCCAAGGAATTCATTTTTTAAAAATAGCAAGTTGTAATGATAAAAGTGTAAAGTCACTGTTAGGAATTTTGGGCAAGCACTAATGTGAATAGCTCAAAAGACATCTATTATAGGATAGATAGGTCATAAATTCCTGCTGGCCATCTTTTAATGGAGCCCATATACACAGCATTGTACTACTGTAATTAAGTTAGTATAGGTAGTCACTAATTTCCTGTAGTTTTAGTTGTTTTCTAAGATAAGCAGAAGTGTAACATTTAAAATAATTTCCTTAGTAATCTTATGTTGTTCTATATCTATTTAATTGTTCTCTTATTTGCAATGAACTTTCTCAAGAAATGGTGGGAATGATTTATGTATTATTTTATATTTAAACAGGAAGTGTATGGTAGAGGAAGAGGAGAAACAGCTGCTTCTGAAACATGCCCCTCAGCTGATGTCACATTTTACACCACAGTTACTTGCCAGACTCAGGCAACTACTGTAACTCATATTTGTATTGTAAACTTTGGCTACTTGGCCATTCACCAGGCTTAGAAAGCTCCTTTGCCAATCACTCATTTTACACCATAGCTGTTTCCAAGGATTAGACAGCCATGTTGTGTTGGCTGTTTGGGCCTGCTGACTGCTAGCAGCCAGCAAAAAAATTTAGTAGGTGGGCTAAAAGTTTTTATGTTTATTACAAATAAAAATCAAATCGAACATTACTTATTTTTTTTACCTGTCAGTTTGGAATGTTTTCAATTACAAATAATCAATGAAATGCACTTGTTGGTGTACTGATAACATAACTTCAGTACTGCTGCAAAATAATTTTTTCACAAAGTCAATTTCGATAAGTGTTAACTTATTGAAATTGGTCCTCCTACCTTTGCTGCTTTGCTAGCAGTAATGTTGGTACAGCTGGATATGGATCAAAATGAGCCATTTCCAATCAAATTCATGCAGAGTAGTTTGCACTTTGTAAAGACACTGTCGTTTTGTCACTACAAGAGAGATCATGGAAGACCCTTCTTCTTTCAACAAACCAGATGTTTCCCACTGAAGCAGGGTGGCCCAAAAAGAAAAACAAAAGTTTCTCTTTTTAACTTTAGTAATGTTTACATCATTTGCATGATATGGCTGTTATTGTACTTTGGTGGGTCAGAATAAGACATGTGAACCACTGAATTTGACATACCATGCATCTTATTCATCAATTTTTAGATACTGTATATTAATTTGACCAATGAAGCCTGAACTAATTTTTTTTATTAACAAATTGGCTGTTTCCCACCAAGGTAGGGTGGCCTGAAAAAGAAACTTTCATCATTCACTCCATCACTGTCTTGCCAGAGGCATGCTTACACTTCAGTTATAAAACTGCAACATTAACACCCCTCCTTCAGAGTGCAGGCATTGTACTTCCCATCTCCAGGACTCAAGTCTGGCCTGCCAGTTTTCCTGAATCCCTTCATAAATGTTACCTTGCTCACACTCCAACAGCACGTCAAGTCCTAAAAACCATTTATCTCTATTCACTTCTATCTAACATGCTCACCTATGCTTGCTGGAAGTCCAAGCCCCTCACACAAAACCTCCTTTACCCCCTCCCTCCAATCTTTCCTAGGCTGCCCCCTACCCCGCCTTCCCTCCACTACAGATTTATACACTCTTGAAGTCATTCTATTTTGTTCCATCCATCCAATAATTATGAGAATATCAAATGATTTAGATAAAGAAAAATTTGATATTAAATTGGGGAGGAGGAATATCGAAGAAGTGAATGTTTTCAGATATTTGGGAGTTGACATATCAGTGGATGGATTCATGAAGGATGAGGTTAATCATAGAATTGATAAAGTAAAAAAGGAGAGTGGTGCATTGAGGTATATGTGGAGACAAAAAACATTATCTATGGAGGCAAAGAAGGGAATGTATGAAAGTATAGTAGTACCAACACTCTTATATGGGTGTGAAGCTTGGGTTGTAAATGCTGCAGCGAGAAGGCAGTTGGAGGCAGTGGAGATGTCCTGTCTAAGGGCAATGTGTGGTGTAAATATTATGCAGAAAATTTGGAGTGTGGAAATTAGGAGAAGGTGTGGAGTTAATAAAAGTATTAGTCAGAGGGCTGAAGAGGGGTTGTTGAGGTGGTTTGGTCATTTAGAGAGAATGGATCAAAGTAGAATGACATGGAGAGCATTTAAATCTGTAGGAGAAGGAAGGCGGGGTAGGGGTTGTCCTCGAAAAGGCTGGAGGGAGGGGGTAAAGGAGGTTTTGTGGGCGAGGGGCTTGGACTTCCAGCAAGCGTGCATGAGCGTGTTAGATAGGAGTGAATGGAGACGAATGGTATTTGGGACCTGATGAGCTGTTGGAGTGTGAGCAGGGTAATATTTAGTGAAGGGATTCAGGGAAACCGGTTATTTTTATATAGCTGGACTTGAGTCCTGGAAATGGGAAGTACAATGCCTTCCCTTTAAAGGAGGGGTTTGGGATATTGGCAGCTTGGAGGGATATGTTGTGTATCTTTATATGTACATTCTAAACTGTTGTATTCTGAGCACCTCTGCGAAAACAGTGATTATGTGTGAGTGAGGTGAAAGTGTTGAATGATGATGAAAGTATTTTCTTTTTGGGAATTTTCTTTCTTTTTGGGTCACCCTTCCTCAGTGGAGATGGCCGACTTGTTAAAAAAAAATGTAAATTACATTTTATAGGGACAGAAATTTAATATGCATTTTAGAATATGCCATTTTAGTGTAATGTACAGTACATAAAGAAGGGTGAGGATGGATTAATATTAGATGAAGATAAAATAAAAGATTCTGAGATTTATTATTTTTTAGTCAGTGTGTACTTAAGTAAGTTTATTCAGGTATACACAAATACAGTTACATAGATTATCATACATACATGTATCAGCATATGTGTAGAGAACCTAGGATAACCCAAAAAAGTCAAAGTGACATTTCCATTGGGGTCCTAACTTGAGGATTTGTTAGTCATTTTATGAGTTTAGAGGAAAACTTTTTAAAGAAATGTTTAATAGAAAAAATAAAAGGGCACAATACTGTGACTGGAACAACAAACAAATAACCCACACTTGGGAGACAAACTCATGACAACGTTTCTTTCCGACTTGGACCATTAACTAGTTACACAGCTGTTTCCCCTCAAGGAAGGTTCCTTGATGTTGGTGAGGGGCTCTTGATTTAGGGAATTGGATCTGTGCTCCAGTTCCCCGAATTAAGCCTGAATGCCTTCCACATCCCCCCCCAGGCGCTGTATAATCCTCCGGGTTTAGCGCTTCCCCCTTGATTATAATAATAATACACAGCTGTTTAATTGTCCAAGTCAGACCAAAACATCATCATAAGTTTCAGTCTCCTAAGTGTGGGTTACCTGTGAAATGTGTAATAGAGTATCAAGAGTATTAAATTAAGATGAAGTGAAATAAGCTCAACTTTAAATTTATACGTCTTGTGAAAAACAGGTAAAAATAATGACTATACTATACATATTTAGAAATATACATGCTGTATAATCCTACGGGTTTAGCGCTTCCCCCTTGATTAAAATAATAATAATAATAGAAATATACGTACTTTATACTGTATGTATTGGTCTTTCATCTCATCAGGAACTTAATAGGAACCAGCTGAATTTAACAAAATTTATTAGGCTAAAATAGTAGGGCACATATGGAAACATTATGCCTAAAATAAACATACTACAAATCAATCTGAAGCCAGCAAAATTTTTTGCATTTTCTGTCAACTGAATATCGAAGGTAAGTTTACTTTTATGATCCACATACAGTTGTTATTTTGATAATGCATATAATAATAATATAAGGTAAATATTTGTACTGTACTACCAAGACAGTTCTTTATTATTGAAAAAAATATTCAGTCAAACTTATAAGTTCATTGATTATCACTAAGCATGGATACTATTTTAAGGCTCAGCCCTTTACTCGATGCCACTTACATCAGACCGAGCCAAATGGGCCACACTTGGGAATTTTGGAAGCTCCACAGGAATTTTGTGGCTTGGTTTACAAGTGTGGAGCTCAAGACATACATCCCAGCAACATTTCTGGTTTTGGGGGCATGCGCCGTCATGGGGACACACCTATACAAACAACAGAGGATTAATACTACTAAATAGTGGTAGAAGTAGCATCTCCATAAAGTGGTATTCTAGTGTGAAGGTGTTGAAAACTAGTAAAATACTGAAATATATGAACCAGTTATTATAATCCTCAAAGAACTGCTACCAGAATAGACTTTTAGACTTTTTTTTTTAACACATCGGCAGTTTCCCACCAAGGAGGGTGGTCCCAAAAAGAAAAACTTACACTTACACTGCAGTTATAAAACTGCAACATTTACACCCCTCCTTCAGAGTGCAGGCACTGTACTTCCCATCTCCAGGACTCAAGTCCAGCCTGCCAGTTTCCCTGAATCCCTTCATAAATATTACCCTGCTCACACTCCAACAGCAAGTCAAGTCTTATAAATCATTTGTCTCCATTTGCTTCTATCTAACATGCTCACGCATGCCTGCTGAAAGTCCAAGCCACTCGCACACAAAACCTCCTTTAATCCCTCCAACTTTCGTAGGCCGACCTCTACCCCGCCTTCCCTCCACTACAGATTTATACACTCTCGAAGTCATTCTATTTTGTTCCTACCTTTCTACATGTCCGAACCACCTCAACCTCTCCTCAGTCCTCTGGAAGATAGTTTTGGTAATCCTGCATCTCCTCCTAATTTCCTAACTACAAATTCTCTGCATTATATTCACACCACACATTGCCCTCAGACATGACATCTCCACTGCCTCCACCCTTCTCCTTGTTGCAACATTCACCACCCATGCTTCACACCCATATAAAAGCGTTGGAATAACTATACTCATACATTCCCTTCTTTGCTTTCACGGACATTCTTTTTCTCCACAGACTCTTCAGTGAACCACTCACCTTTTTCCCCTCGTCAATTCTGTGTAAGTAAAGAGCAGAGCTAATTATGATAAGTTTTCTTATGCTGATTAAAAAATATAAAACTGAAGACAATTTGCTTTGGTCCCTTGCTTCACATTACTATACCTTTGCAACACACAAGCAAGACTAAATTATTTAATTTACTTACCTCGGGAAGCTGTATCCTGGGGCATACTTTGCGAGCTGGAGGACAACTGCCAGAATGCACTGTCAATTAAAAATTCCATTTTATAACAAAGTTTATGTGCTTTCTTATTCCATTTCATGCTTAGCAACACTGTTAATTAAAATAACCTCATCAGAGGTATTCATAGACAGTACTAAAGTCATAGAACAGCATGCTATTTATGATGCAACCCACTACTTTCCTAGAGCAAAACAGCTACATTAAAAAAAAAAAAAACCTTCAAGGGGAAAAGGGTGCCCTGAGGCTGGTAAAGAGATCTTGATTCAAGGAACCAGAGCTACCCTGCACTTCTTTGAACAAAATCTGATTACTTTTCAGGAGGAGTGCCAAATCTGTAGGGGGTCATATAGCATTTGGTGGGGGGAATGGATTTATTCAAGGTATGATCCAAGGAAAGAGAGGGCAATCCAAATCCTTGGAACAAGAGCCCTCATTGCTATCTACGACCCTCCCTTGAGGGGCTTCTATTCCCAGGTGTGGTATGACTCCTATGGGTTTAGTGGTTCCCCATGAAAAAAAAAATCCATTAATGTAAGTGTTTTAATTAAAGTAACCTTCAGGAGCAGGGTAGACTCGATCTGGCAGGCTGCAGCAGTAGGCAGTGTCCTGCGGTGGTGGAGTTTTGCACCAGTACTGGCAGCAGGTACTTCTACCCACCATCACTATTACCAACATGAACCCCTGCATCATCCATTGCTAGGGAAAAGTCAAGTGTTTCATGTGGGTACAGTAGGTTTTAATAAGCTTAATCATTAACACAAATATAATGAATAAATATACTTTCCCTCAAGATTTCAGTACACTGGCTTACATATAAATTAATACCTGTACTATCTACTGTATTTTACTGAAACAAGAAGCATACAAGAATAGACAGTATATACATTTTATAACTGGAAATGCAGTCCAAGATATTATTTGCCACGAGTCAAATAAATAAATACACTACTGTACTGTAGCTCTAGACTGTATATGGTATTTTTTTCAAGGGAAGGGGTGCACACTGATGTTTAAAATGACTCTCCTTCCCCCCAGCACTGAATGACCCCTATGGGTTTAGCGCTTCCTACTATTTATGATGTGGGTTAAGCACTTCTCCCCTTAAATGTAATAATGATAATTTTTTTTTTTCACAAAGCTGTTAACCCACAAAAAAGTGATGCAAAAAACACCAATGAAGTTAAAACACGCTAACTTAAACATCTGCACACTGTTTCTATACACACTAACCTAGCCATACACACGTGCACCCACTGACTTTACAAACAACCTATTATACACATAAACTTAATCTTACACTAAATTTATGACATGTGTGCATGCACATAAGTGCATTAGCACAACTGAACAGTGAGTTTCATGTCTTGTAAGAATGTGCATGTGCATACTTTCGTGTGCACTGATGCACAAGTGAGCACGCATTTTGAGTGCAGTGCATTGAATGTATTTGAGAGCAGTGCAACACAAGTGTTCATGCACTCGAGTGCAGTATGACGCATAAGTGTACATGCGTTGTGTGCGAAGCACACGGTCTAACAGCCAACCCTACAACCCCTCCTCTTACAATGTTCACGAAAACATAATTAACATTGATTTTTCAATGTTGTTATCTCTTAGTCTAGTGGTTTGTTTATAACAGTATGGCCGGGCTTATAAGACTTACCATCGTGAAGTGAAAAAATTGAAATGCAGGTGAGGGATTAAGACAGACACGTTCACCTCGGACCAGGATGATCCACACTAACCATGGCTTCAGTGCACCCATCAAACCACTCCACACGTATTATCTTTGTGTGTGTGTGTGTGTGTGTGTGTGTGTTTACCTGGAGAGAGTTCCGGGGATCAACGCCCCCGCGGCCCGGTCTGTGACCAGGCCTCCTGGTGGATCAGAGCCTGATCAACCAGGCTGTTACTGCTGGCTGCACGCAAACCAACGTACGAGCCACAGCCCGGCTGATCAGGAACCGACTTTAGGCGCTTGTCCAGTGCCAGCTTGAAGACTGCCAGGGGTCTGTTGGTAATCCCCCTTATGTATGCTGGGAGGCAGTTGAACAGTCTCTGGCCCCTGACACTTATTGTATGGTCTCTTAACGTGCTAGTGACACCCCTGATTTTCATTGGGGGGATGCTGCATCGTCTGCCAAGTCTTTTGCTTTCGTAGTGAGTGATTTTCGTGTGCAAGTTCGGTACTAGTCCCTCTAGGATTTTCCAGGTGTATATAATCATGTATCTCTCCCCCTGCGTTCCAGGAATACAGGTTTAGGAACCTCAAGCGCTCCCAGTAATTGAGGTGTTTTATCTCCGTTATGGCGCCGTGAAGGTTTTTTTTTTTTTGTTTTTTATTTTTTTATTGCGGAATTCTCCGCCCGGGTCTTTTCAAGTAGTGGTGAACCCGGCTAGCTCCTATCTGGGATTGGTCACTGAGATTTATAGTCCCATTGCTGGAGGAGGCACAAGTACCTCACATCATTTAGGGACCAAGTGCTCCCAGGCCTACCACATTCCCCGCCCTCACGTGGTGGCTGTGGGGAGAAGCTTAGGCTCTCTGGACTGAGCCATCTACCCCCCCTCAAAGTGGCTCGTGGGGATGGCAGTCTTATGAGCTGCAGATGATAGCAAGCTCAGGCTTCTTAGTGAAGGTTATCTGTACATTTTCTAGGTCAGCAATTTCACCTGCCTTAAAGGTGCTGTTAGTGTGCAGCAATATTCCAGCCTGTGTGTGTGTGTGTGTGTGTGTATTAAAGCCTACTCTATTGGTTTTATTCGGTCACTAGTTATTCATAGGATCCACAATTGCATTATTGTTGTTTGCACTTGCACCATAGTAGTAACAGTACAGATATACAGGCCAAGCTGACATCAATGCCATGCCACTATATATTATTATAAAGGGGAGGCGCTAAACCCGTAGGATTATACAGCGCCTGTGGGGGAGGGATGGAAGGTAATCAGGCTTAATTCTGGGAACTGAAGCACAGATCCAGTTCCCAAGAGCCCCCCACCGGCATCAAAGGAACCTTCCTTGAGGGGTGCTACTATATACAAAGCCCCCTGTTATGCAGAGCATGTCAGGCAAATTAGGTCAATTTTAAGTCCTTATCTGTGAGCCCATCTGTTCTAGGTCAATTTAGTCCCAGACCTGGTCTCAGACCTGGTCCCAGACCTGGTCTCAAACCGGGCCGCGTGGGCGTTGACCCTCGAAACCCTCTCCAGGATGCGACCCATACTAGTCAACTGACACCCAGGTACCTATTTTACTCACAGGTGAACATGGACAACAGGTGTCTTAATTCAAGATCGTTGCCTTGATGCCTGTAAAAGGCTCTTGACTCAAGTAACTGGAGCTACCTCTCCAATGGCTCAATGCTGATTACAGGTACTTATTATTTCTACCATTCATTCACGTAGGTTCGCCGGTACTTCCGGCCCGGGTCTTCTCCAGATAGCGACCCGGCGGTGGTCCCCCCGGGTGGGGGTGCTTATTTCTACCGTATGGCAACTACGGGTTTAGCGCTTCCTTACGAAAATGGAAGGGTTACCTGGAGGGTGTTCCAGGGGTCAATGCCCCCGCGGCCTGGTCCATGACCAGGCCTCTCAGTAGATCTGGACCTGATCAACCAGGCTGTTACTGCTGGCCGTACGTAGTCCAACGTACAAACCACAGTCGTATGCATGAGCATATTACAACACCAATGAGGGTATTTTTTTTAATGAGTATCTGATACTTGGAATATCAAGGTCTTAACGAATTTTACCTTTCAAGAGGTTCCTTGATGCTGGTGAGAGGGAAGGGCTCGATCCAAGGTATTAGACGTGTTCTTCCTTCCATGGATCGAAACTGATTACCTCCTATTTCCTAGATGTTCTTAAGACCTCTCACAGGTTTAGTGCTCCTCCCGCGAACATAATAATGATTAAATTCATCCACAGCCTGTTTTCCGAGAAAGTCGCTGGAGCGCAGTCTACGAAGTCCTCCTGCCATGTACCACTGACTTCAAGCATGGAGTGTGCTTCTGTAGCAACTCATATAACTGACCCTCAGACTTCCCCACCACTTGAAGGTGATCTCCAGCTGCTGGAAGCTTCCGGTAGAAGGCTCATTCTTTCATTAACTAATTAAGTTATATTAGAAGGTATGTGGAATGTTATGCAAATTTGGCGGTATCTTCGTCGCCCTACTGGTTTATATGAAGGCGCCATGATGATGATGAAGGGCTCTTGATCTAAGGAACTGGATTTACCCCCCCCCCTCCATTATTTGGATCGAACATAATTGCGTGCCTTTCCCCAGTCACTGTATGACCCTTACGGATGAAGAGCACCCCTACTGTACATATAAAATATTAAAATGCAAGGGTAACTTCAATTATTTTGATGACGTATTAAATTTATTACAATTCGAGCGCACCAAAATAGTATGGTAATGGATAAACTGAACCTGTCTGGATACATTTTGCCTAAAATAAAATGACCGCTAAAATCATTCTGAAATAATTTTATTATACTATTATTTTGCAATCTTGCATAAAGTCTTTTATGACGGAAAATAATGATCAAATTGTAGCCTAGAGTACTTGCAAGGTCAAATAACTTCATTAGTAAAACGTGTTTTTTTTTTTTTTTGTCATCTCATTGAGGAAGAAAGTGACGTTTATTTTACCGAGTTAGGTTGTCACAGTGAGGAGCCTCACAGAACTCAACAAATGTGCTAAGGTTTAGAACCTTTACTGAGGGCGTCTACATTTGTCCGAGCCAAGTGCGACACAACGGGGAAGCTTGGCTGCTGCTGCTGCTGCTGTCCAGGTTTATTAAAATCTGGGCGTTGCTCTTCCACGGGAACTTGGTTGATGGCTGTGCAAATGTGGTGTCCAACATGATTATTCCAGCAACATTTCTGGTTGTATGAGCAGGCGCCGTCATGGGGACACACCTGTACAGATTACAAACAAAATTTATACAGCTGAGCACTCACGGGAGCAGCATCTCAGTAAAGTAGTATTCTATTTAAAAAGGTTTGAGACAACAGTAAAATATTTATAAGTTGGAATATAAGATAAGCCAGATATTAGCTACCAAAATATGACTTTAAAAAAAAATGTAAACCCTCAAAAATGAATGAAAATTTATCTCACATTGGTCAAGATATGAAACACGACCATTTTGATGGGAAAAGTTGAATATAAGCAATCAGACTAACGACTTTATATTAATGAGTAATCTTGGGGCGTGAAAATGTGACCATCTGACTGTAAATGGGAAGCCAGCGTACGATTACCCACAAGAATATAACATAGGTAAGAAGCAATTGCCTGAACAACTAAACGATTTCGTTCTTTGTGCGATCCTAGAAAAAGGTTTCCTCGTATCCCATAAGCTCAACCCACTCTACCTCAATACACGTAAAAGGAATAGTACAGACTCAGGCATAAGTTTCTAATGCAATTATATATCAACTTTGAAGATTTGAAGCCAATCAGAAGAGGTATTTACAGCATATCGCATGAAACAACTAATATCCCAATTTCAGTAGAAATGGCAAACTGATATTTACACAGCCCAAAAGTAATTCGAATCTTCCACCCAGCAAGATACACCAGCTTTGAAAGTTTACAATCAGAAGAGGCATTTTCAAGTTATCTCAGAGACCAATATCCCAAATATACCAGCACTTTATATGCCGTAAGCCATAGGTTACTTAAACACCGATACTCATTACAGGTTATCCAGTAATTACCTTAACACTAATACCCAGCACCAGCGAACCACCGAATGCTTAAATACCGAGCGGATATACACCGACAACCCATGTCAGTGACACCTTACTCTTACTGTATTCTGGCTTATAAAACACCCGTTCTCTGATATTATTTGCCTTGAGAAAGGAGAAGCGAGAATAATTTTTCTTACCTCAGGGTTGCGAATCTTGGAAAGCCCTTTGTGAGCAGTGAAGCATCTGCCAGGATGCACTGTAAATGAAAATTGCATTATATAACTAAAATACGAAATATTAACGTGTCTAGTCTCTAAAGGATCTTAAGTGTTTCTTTAATATTTTATTAATGCAACTCAGCTTCACAAGTATAAAGTGCCAAAGTATTTCTTTAGTCATGTGATGCTTCAACCTGAGAAAAAAAAAGAAAAAAAAAAAACGGTGAACCATTAAAAATCATTTAAATTTGTTAATCTGAAGACCAACATTCTAGCAACCTTACCTTTTATTCGGTATTAAATTATAATAAAATAGAGAGTGATGGAATATGACAGGGAAACATAGCTAGCTTTTCCCCTTTGTGACTATCACCTAGAAATGGGTAGGGTAGCAGCACACTGCTGATGCACCCAATTCTGTTAAATAAAAAAAACGTGAAGTAGCCGCAGTAAATATAAGAATCTTCTACTTATGACCAGAGCTTTGGTAAGATGGGAAAGGAAGAAGGATGGGTAACAATAGAAATATGGGAAAAAGGTGGGTGGGGGAGGTGAGGTGGGACAATAAAGGTAAGTAGCTCAATGCAAGAGTATGGGGGAGTAACCTTGAGGCTCCGGGTAGACACGATCAGGGAGGCTGCAACAGTATGGTTGTTTATGAGGAGTGTGGCACCAGTACGAACATGATGTGTTGCTAGTCACCATCACCACACTCACCACTACCACCAACCACTGCATCACATGCGGCTGTAAAGAGAAAGAACTGATATTACTATATAAGCTCTAATTTATTAGTAGTATTCATTTCCTGGAAGATTCAACTTACTGGGCTCCTCTTGCTATCACGTGGGGCCAAATGTTACCCCGCACTCATCCTATGGATGGTAATTACCCCACAGCCATTTTGTGGGCGGTAGTTACCCAATACCCATCCTGTGAGTGATATTTAATCTATACCCATCCTTCGGATGGTAGTCACCTTACACCCAAAACTCATTCTTTGTTTGAATATCCCACCATACTCATTCTATGGGCGGTAGTCGCCCCATACTTATCCTGAGGGTGGTAGTCACCCCATTCCGATCCTGTGGGCACTAGTCGTACTCATTCTATGAGCAGTCGTCAAAATATTGTAAGACAAAATGGATCCAAAAAGTGGGTCCCAAAATTGTTAGATAATCATGTTTCACCAGTAATAAGCTGTTTACTAGAATAACGAATTCGTCATAAAATTAATAAATAGAAAGTAATTATAATAATAATATTTGCACAACAACAACATAACTATTAAGACTGTATGTCCTCTTCCCTACTAGCCAAGAATACTTGAAGCTCTAAAATAGAGAAATAAGTGAACTTTCAGCATATACAGTACATATACAGGAAGTACTTCTTCAGCCACAGAGTAGTCAGGAAGTGGAATAGTTTGGGAAGCGATGTAGTGGAGGCAGGATCCATACATAGCTTTAAGCAGAGGAATGATAAAGCTCACGGTTCAGGGAGAGTGACCTAGTAGCGACCAGTGAAGAGGCGGGGCCAGGAGCTTGGACTCGACCCCTGCAACCTCAACTAGGTGAGTACATAGGTGAGTACATCGACATCTCAGAGATGGATGCACACCTTTCCCTGTATATAACCTAGCGAACAATAAAAACAGTTTGAATTATGTAAATGTTCACGTTACAGCACCTGATAGTAACGAGACAGGATAGGAATACTCACTACCATGTTGAGATACGTTTTCGTTGAAGTGTAAGTACACAGTTGAGTTACTTGTGTTAAGGGAGAGATGAGATGCTGCGACACACCGTCAGCGAGGTTCAGCTACACACTGAACCTTGCTGTCTCACCTCCCTTCCCGCTCATCCCTCTTATTCCACACTGCATGGGCATCACCAGATAGATAAATTGATGGATAGTTCTTTCACATGAAGCACTAAACCTATGTGGGTCATTCAGTGCAAGAAGAGGTGGAGGCTCGATCTTTCGTTTGTTAATCGCCACGTTAGTTAGTTTAATATGTTTATTATGCACCCCATACCCATCCTGTGGGCGGTATTCAAAAGATTACAGAGGTACATAATTGGTCCAGGGACTGGACTCCAAAGTTTTGATAGCTGAGAAAGTTACAGAAGGTAATGAACTCACAATTTACAAAGGTAATAAACTCACAATTTACAAAGGTAATGAACTCCAGGTAGGTCTAGTCACAATCATGACAAGTTACAAAGGTATTTACAGATTACAGAGGTACGTAATGGGTCCAGGGACTGGGCCCCCAAAGTTTTGATAGCTGAACTAGGTACAAAGGTAATGAACTCACAAGTTACAAAGGTAATGAATCCTGTAAGAATGGTTACTTACGTTTATACATGGGTACAATCATGAACAAATTATAGAGTAATGAGCAATTCACTTCCACACACGGTCACTACTGTAATGAGTTATTGGTGCAAATATTGATTGTTGAGTCACACACACACACACACACACACACACACACACACACACACACACACACACACACACACACACACACACACACACACACACACACACACACACTTATACACAAACTCATACGCACACACGCACACACACTCATACACACACAATCTTCAACACGTCCCTGGAAACTGGGCAACTACCTGAGGTATGGAAGACGGCAAATGTAGTTCCCATTTTTAAAAAAGGAGACAGAAAAGAGGCACTAAACTATAGACCTGTGTCATTGACGTGTATAGTATGCAAAGTTATGGAGAAGATTATCAGGAGGAAAGTGGTGGAGCACCTGGAACGGAACAAGAGTATAAATGCCAACCAGCACGGATTCATGGAAGGCAAATCCTGTGTCACAAACCTTCTGGAGTTTTATGATAAAATAACAGAAGTAAGACACGAGAGAGAGGGGTGGGTTGATTGCATCTTCTTGGACTGCAAGAAGGCCTTTGACACAGTTCCTCACAAGAGATTAGTGCAGAAGCTAGAGCATCATGCGCATATAACAGGAAGGGCACTGCAATGGATCAGAGAATACCTGACAGGGAGGCAACAACGAGTCATGGTACGTAATGATGTATCACAGTGGGCACCTGTGACGAGCGGGGTCCCACAGGGGGTCGGTCCTAGGACCAGTGCTATTTTTGGTATATGTGAACGACATATGGAAGGGTTAGACTCAGAAGTGTCCCTGTTTGCAGATGATGTGAAGTTAATGAGAATTAAATCAGATGAGGACCAGGCAGGACTTCAAAGAAACCTGGACAGACTGGACACCTGGTCCAGCAAATGGCTTCTCGAATTTAATCCTGCCAAATGCAAAGTCATGAAGATAGGGGAAGGGCACAGAAGACCACAGACAGAGTATAGGCTAGGTGGCCAAAGACTGCAAACCTCACTCAAGGAGAAAGATCTTGGGGTGAGTATAACACCGAGCATGTCTCCGGAAGCACACATCAATCAGATAACTGCTGCAGCATATGGGCGCCTGGCAAACCTGAGAACAGCATTCCAATACCTTAGTAAGGAATCGTTCAAGACACTGTACACCGTGTGTGTCAGGCCCATACTGGAGTATGCAGCACCTGTTTGGAACCCGCACTTGATAAAGCACGTCAAGAAACTAGAGAAAGTACAAAGGTTTGCGACAAGGTTAGTTCCAGAGCTAAGGGGAATGTCCTATGAAGAAAGATTAAGGGAAATCGGCCTGACGACACTGGAGGACAGAAGGGTCAGGAGAGACATGATAACGACATATAAAATTCTGCGTGGAATAGACAAGGTGGACAAAGACAGGATGTTCCAGGGAGGGGACACAGAAACAAGAGGCCACAATTGGAAGTTGAAGACACAAATGAGTCAGAGAGATATTAGGAAGTATTTCTTCAGTCATAGAGTTGTCAGGCAGTGGAATAGCCTAGAAAATGACGTAGTGGAGGCAGGAACCATACACAGTTTTAAGACGAGGTTTGATAAAGCTCATGGAGCGGGGAGAGAGAGAGCCCAGTAGCAACCGGTGAAGAGGCGGGGCCAGGAGCTAAGACTCGACCCTTGCAACCACAAATAGGTGAGTACAAATAGGTGAGTACACACACACACACATACACACACACACACACACACACACATGCACACATGTGGTAATGCTTTATTTACAGCTAGCAAAGTCAGGGTATTTCTCCAGAATGGTCTGTAATATACCACTGTGGATAAAATACTTTGCCATTTCTTGAACACTTCTGAGTGAGTTGTTTCTAAATTCATTAATTTTATCGCACTCCAGTACATAATGACGCAAGGTGCGACAATAGTCCATCTGGCAAAGTTTACATTTCGTTTGGTCTACAACTGGTGGTGGTGATTTAACCTGCCAAAGATACTTGTAACCCAGCCGGAGCCGGGCGGTAGTGACATCCAAGAGTCTTTAACTGAACTTGTCTATCAGGCAGAGATGGATAGATGTCTTTCTGTTTAAATAATTGATACTGTTTTATATAAAATTTACATGGTGGCATCTTTCCCATCATTAATACAAGCAATAATGACAATAATGATGACAATACTACTACTAATAAAACAATAATAATAGTAATAATATAATAGTAATAATATTAATTACTATGACTGTTCTGGGATTATCGCCCCTGCGGCCCAATCTAAGACAGAGATGTAAGCCATATTATTATTATTATTATTATTATAATCAAGGGGGAGCACTAAACCCGTAGGATTATGTAGCGCCTGTGGGGGGATGTGGAAGGTATTCAGGCTTAATTCAGGGAACTGGAGCACAGGTCCAATTCCCTAGATCAAGAGCCCCTCACCAGCATCAAGGAACCTTCTTTGAGTGGATGTAAGCCATAGCTCCGTGTCTTCCTTTGCGGATGGCACCCGGATCACCATGACAGTGACCTCCATCGAAGACACCGCGAGACTCCAAGCGAACATCAACCAAATCTTCAAATGGGCCACTCAAAACATTATGAAGTTAAACGAGGAGAAATTTCAACTACTCAGATATGGAAAACTTGAAGAAATTAAAAATGTGTCAGGGTATACCACAAATTCTAACCATACAATAGAACGGAAAAGTAATGTAAAGGACCTGGGAGTGATAATGTCAGAGAATCTCGCCTTCAAAGACCACAAAAATGTATCTACCTCATCCGCTAGGAAAATGATAGGATGGATAATAATAACCTTCAAAACTAGGGACGCCAAGCCCATGATGATTCTCTTCAAATCGCTTGTTCTCTCTAGGCTGGAATACTGCTGTACACTAATATCCCCTTCAAGGCTGGCGATATTGCAGACCTGGAGAGTGTACAAAGAACTTTCACGGCACACTGGGGACGGTTGAAGGTCCTTGATCTGTATTCCCTCGAACGCAGGCGAGAGATACATGATAATATACACTTGGAAGGTCCTGGAGGGATTGGTACCCCTGGAGGGATTGGTACCAAACCTGCACAAGAAAATCACTCCATATGAAAGCAAAAGACTCGGCAGGAGACGCAGCATTCCCCCGATGAAAAGCAGGGGCGCCACGAGTACACTGAGAGACAACACAATAAGTGTCCGGGGCCCAAGACTGTTCAGTTGCCTCCCAGCATACATAAGGGGGATTACCAACAGACCCCTGGCTGTCTTCAGGAAGGCACTGGACAGGCACCTGAAGTCAGTACTTGACCAACCGGGCTGTGGTTCGTACGTCAGCTTGCGTGCGGCCAGCAGTAAGAGCCTGGTTG